AAGCAAAGTACGAACCTGAGACGTGGGCGAGCCGAGCCTTGAGTCGAGCCAGCGGCTCCTTACCTGCCAGCAGCCAGCCGGTTCCTATACGACAGTCTGAGAAGTCTGAGATATATTATGTTTTTTTAAGGTCCTTTCCGACACTCGACTCGACTCGGCCCCGACAATGGAAATGTCGCGATCCTCTACTGTCCACTTAGCCGGTTCCTGTTTCGCTGGAAGGACCCTTAAGAGTCCTCCCTCTAATGCTCTTTTTTCAAGAGTTCCTGGAGTAAATCCCTATTGCAATGACGCCGTCTCAAATTATAATCTCAGTTAAGTAGAGGAAATTGTTTAAAATATCCTTGATTAGCATTTTTGATTAGAATTCTTTTGAAAGCAACTGAAATCATTTAAGGATGAAGGAATAAGAAAATAGAAAAACATAGTTAAAATAGTTAGAAGAAAGTATACAATTTTATGACATGACTTATAAATTTAAAGACTAGGTGAAATATCTGCCCAAAATTATTTTGTATATGTTAAATATCTAAATCTCTTTCAAGTAGCAAAGGAAGTTCCCCTTTCCCCAAATCTCATACACTTTCGTGACTTCCCATTACCTTTCCACTGGTTTCCATTATAATCTCAGCTGTGCCCGGTTAGTAATTATATTTTTTATTACTATTCAGCCTTCTCATCAAGACGATAAGCGGCGTTCCGGTGAGTCAACCCAATGCAAAAGGTGTTTTGTGCACTTCCAAAAATATATTTTCAATATCACCAGACCAGGCCCAGGCCGGTTTCAGTTCAGTTCGGGGAAGTAATGGCAATTATCAATTTAAAGTGAACCACTCTGGCTGGCCGTGTCCATTGATCGGTATCGCGACCATAATATGTTCAAGTTTACAGCCCCAAATGAATCTTACAGGATCATTATTTATGTTAATATATATCGCCAGTTACATTTAGCATTGCAAAATTCCCACAGGACTGCGAACCAGTCGAGAAGTCGTCTTACCAAGACCGAAGTTGGCCATACCTTGGCCAGTCAGGTTGACTTAACAATAAGTACTATCAGCAATGGTAATAAAATAAGTGAATCACAAAAACAAAAAAGATAGCTACAAAAATTGCATTGGACTTGTGAAAATGATTAATGTTAAGCGTTAAGCAAGTAGTGTGGTTTAAATATATATTTTTTAATTGGTAATAATAGTATAAAAGTTACCTAGGAAATACCTTTTCATTATTATTTTTGAAGGATGAACTAACTTTAAAAATGATTTTAAGTCAGGCAAGGTTTTATTTTTATGAATCATAAAAATTTATATGAAACATAACTCCTATATCACAAAAGCCTCTAACTTGGCTTTTATTTTACTATTAATTGAATTATTTATATAAAATATATATAAAACAAATTTACGTATTAAAGTTCCTCGAAAATTTAATTAAGAATTTCTTAATGCCTTTTACAGTTTGTTGTGTAGTTCTAAACATTTTTCATAGTAAAATCTTTATTTATAATGTCAATAAATAACCCTTTGAAAACCAAAATACTTCCCTTGTCACTTATGCTTTTAGCCATGCAAATTCTTGGTAATCGAACTTCTGAACCCTGGTAATATACCCATTAAGGAGGGCAGCTAAAACAGCAACCGATTTGGCAAAAAGGCTGCAACTTCAACAAGCCGAACTTATAATTTATAAGCTGGTTTCCTTGTTTCAGCCAGCAGCGTGCAATGTGCTCAAGTTTGAGCGAAACACCTGCACAGGTCGACTCTCCCCCTCTCTGTCTATACATGTATCTCCGTCTCTCTTTATTCTTCGCTCGGTGGTGCGCATGCGCAGCGAGTATAGTACTTCTACTTTTTCCAGTCTCTTTGCCTTTTGCTGCTTTGGGTTTGGGTTTTTGCTTTTTTGCATGAAATAAAATCTCACGGTTCAGATGCGTACAGAGTTGGCAAAAAAAAGAAGAAAGACAGAGGCAGAGGGAAAGGGAGAGGAAGAGAGGGGAGCAGGTGGTAGGAAGTCTGGGCAAAAACAAAAACACAAAACCAGCAAATAAGTCGGTCGCAGAGGGGGGAAGAGACGTGACATGCATGTGGGTTTGTTTTTGCAAGAAAAACGTGAAAAAATACTAAGAGAAAAACTGGTTTTTCGCAACCAAGACAGAGGATCAGGGGCGGATCCAGAGGGAAGTGAGAGGGGATTTCGTAAAACTGTGTGTGTTTACAAATCAACATTTTGAGTTTAATGCTTATAGACATATATTACATCAAGGCAAAGAGTCTTCTTTAAGAGTTTTTCAAGTATTTGTTAAGGCAAACAATAAGGACTTAAAATCATTAATTTTATTTTAAATATTTCCCCATTTATAGCGTTCTCTAAACCCCCAATAATTAACACCACTGACCAGCTCCAAATAGGTGAAAATTTGAATAAACATCGGTGCATTTCTGCTGCCAAATGTTGTTGTCCTTTTTAACGAGGCAATCCGTGTATCTGTGTATCCGAGTGTCTGAGTATCTGTACTTCATTCATATTTCGAGATGCTTAATGGGCCCACTGGCCGCGCTACCTGGTAACTCAGCACAGGTAACTCTGCTACAGGTAGGCAGAAAGGTAGAAAAGGTACACCTATTCCTCAGACTGTCTTTATGTGTGTGTGTGTTTGCACTGCTCATGGGAAATCACGCTGGCCGGGAAACCTGTTGTTGTTCCCTAAAACCAGAACGAACCCGAGGTCGGGGTAGAAGAAGATGAATCTGAGGCTGAAGACGTATCTCAGACTGAGGCTGAACAGATGCATGATAAGCGGGAGGGATCGAGAGATACACAGATAGCTGATGCTGCTGCTGCTGATGCTGCTGTGCAACTCAACTTCCTCCCTGGGAATGGCAACAAGGGAACCCAATGAATCGAATCCCTTTTTATCACTGCCACCCCCGGCAATCTTTGTCTGGAGCACCTTTTGTTACTCAGCAACCATGAATGACGCTAAGGTATCCCATCCAGCACCTTGTTGGCAGAGAGTATAGTATATAAGATGTAGTATCTGTATCTGTAGTATCTGTATCTCCAGCAGATACGAATATCTCAGGCTGATACGCAGACACTTGGCACAGTTATTAGTCATTAAATGAAAGCTCTGATAAACTGAGCCTTCGAAACAATCTGAAATATGTAATCTTCACAGCTAGAATTTGTAGATTTAATGAAAAATGTCAGGAATGTATTTGCCATAAATTATTTTCTTGGGAAGTACATTGTTTAGTTTAATAGATGTATTCCCTGGAAATATAAGTGCCAGCTAATGGCATTCTATTATACAAACCTATAGTAAACATGTTTACTTATAGAATACTTTGTTTCCAGATGTTATATATTTATTGCTATTTTATATATATTTAATCAGTATTTTTGTGACCTTCCAAGGCTAGAGTTTAGCTTCAGAAATACTTATATTTTAATTAAAAACAAAAATGATGCTTAGTATGTTTTTTCTTTAGGTTAATAGATAGAGAGTTTCCTTACCCCAAAAGAATCAAAAAACAAATTCTGTTCTTGTTTTAATAAATTGATTACTTGAGAGTGTCTAGATTTCTTTATTATAATTAATATTAAAACGTTAAAATATTTTGTTGTGTACTATTTCCTTTCCCACAACTCGTAATAAAAATTCTTACAAATTCTCAAACCGAAATATAAAAGATTCGAGTTACACCCTTCGACTTGAACTGAAATTCCATTTAAAATCTTCTGAGATATATGAGATATATGAGTTTATATATAAAAGTTCTGATTGCTTTCTGCCAGTTTGGCAGTTTTAGTTACCAGAAAAAGCGCTTACCTTTCATTACTGCGGAACCATCATCCGCGTAGCCGGACTTGCTGACCGATGTGGCATTGGCGGCTGCTGTGGCCGCCAAGACGATGAGGATCAGCACCACCGATGGAGTTGCTCGCATTATCCTCATGATGATAAATCCCAAATGCGATGCGATTTTCTATTGCGTATTTTCTCCACCAACTGTACAAACACACACGCGACAGATTTGTTTGTTTATTTCTTTCAACGAATATATATATATATTCGAGGGGGTGCTGGCTTTAGAGGGGGTGTTGCCTAGTGAAGCGTGGCCGGCGCTCCTCCTTGCCCCATCTCACTAGCAATAAGCCAGACTTTGGCCAGGCTTTGTAACCGATTTCGTAGATTTATTTATTTATTTACTTTTTGTGCTTTGACCCGCGATGTTTGTCTGTCTGCTTTTTTCGCGTGCAAAAAAAAAGACAGATAACGCAAAATGATCGCGCGGGGGCGGAGAGAGATACTCGTGAAAAAACAGCAACAAACGCGGCTAAAAACAACCAGTGCCAAGCTAACTGGGCGATCACTTACACTCACTATTACACACGCACACACACTCCAGAAAAGCTCTGCTTTTGTTGTACAACAGAAACTATTGTGATTCCCTTGGAATCTCGCACTTGTTGCCAATATTTGAATGGTTGTAATTCTATTTAAATCGCTTGTTTTGCCTCAACCGTTTGCGTTTAGTGATCAATTAATCGAAGAAAATATTTCGATATTATAACAGCTTGATTTGATTTCCCGGCGACTTTTCGTAAGCGAAATCGTTGTTTTTCCGCTGAAAACCGAGACGGTGCTGGAAAACTGGCTTCCCGTTTGAATTTTTTTCCGAATTTTTGAATGGGCCACCTGCACTTGTATTTATAGGTTTCTGAAGAGGCGAAGACTGTCGAAGATTGCCGAACATAGCCGAAGGCTGCCGAATGGCTGTTGCCAGACTGTAGAATTTACTTAGGACTTACATTTTACACGTAAAAAGTAGTAATGATATGAATTTTCGATATCAAACATCGATATCAACAATAGAGTGCCCAGACGATTTTTGAAGAAAAAACGCCAAACCGGTTGTTTAGTCAACAAATAATTGTTATTTTTATAAATATTTAAAGTTTAAAAATTAAAACCGATATAATACTTAGCAATGATGGACGACAATGAACTGGAACAAAAGTACTCCGAGTGTAGGTAAAATTTCTCTTAAAATCCCGGCTAAAACTAAGTTCTCATCCTATCCCGAAATAGATCTTGGAAACTCAAACCATACGGCCTTGGAAAACAGTCCCGAAAAGCCACCCGCTGCCGGTGGTCCCACGAGGAGGTGGAATCCTTTTTTGCCATCATAAACCAACTGAAACTGCAAATTCCTTTAAGGAAAAACCGCAATGACAAAGTCTTCAAGGTGATTGCTCGTGAGATGGCCAAGCGCAACTATCCCAAGAGTCCCAAGCAGCTGAGGGTCAAATACCACCAGTTGAGGCGTCAGTATGTGCGGGCCAGGAACGGCGGCGAGTCCTTTGACCACTTTGCCGAAGTCCACGAACTGATGCAGGGAAATGAGGGCTCAGATTTTGAAGCCGAACTGGAGAGTGAAAGCGACGCGGAGGCAGAGGAGGATCTGGGCTCGGAAAGCGAAGAAGAAGAAGGTAGGTGGAGTGATTATTAAGGTATATTCTATTATAATATTATTTTATATTCCATTATAAATCTATAGTATTTTGTTCTTTGCTATAAATATGTCGCGTGCTGCCTTCCTTAAGGTTTTTCCATTCTGATTTACTGGCATTTGGTCGGTGAACTGCACTCCGGCATGGAGTTGTTTGTATATGGGCAATCGGTGGGCCACATAAGCCACAATCTCCTCTGCCTTCAAAGGAAATCCCTTTCTCTTTACAACAAGTGCACCTGCCTCATCACCCACCTTCTCGTCGTAGATGCCAACCACGCAAACATCTTGCACTTGGCTGAGTTCTAATATAACCTGTTCGATCTCGCCGGGCCAGAAGTTCTGCCCTTGGTATTTGCAAATGTCCTTGCAACGGTCAACTATGTAAAGGAGGTTCTGATCATCAAAGTAGCCTAGGTCTCCAGTATGAAACCAGCCCTCAGAGTCACGAATGTGTACAGACTCTTCAGGATTTCCGTAATATCCTCGCCAGACCAGCTCCGTGTGCGCATATATCTCTCCCACCTGGTTGTGCCTCAGGTTCTCACCGTTCTCGCTTACAATGCGAATTCGGACACCTGGCAGTGGCCTGCCTACCGTGTTGCCATTGTCAATACCAAGAGCCATTGATATATTACCGGATTCTGTCAAGGCATAGATCTGACTTATCGTGGCATTTTTACATAGCTTCTGGCATCGCTGAAGGGAGGACTCAGAAATAATGCCACCGCTGCAGAACACGCTGCGCAGAGAGGCCAACGACTCTGAGTTGGCCGACGGACAGTTAATCAGGGCAGATATGTGACGTGGTGCGAAAACAATGGCACTAATCTTGTATCTTTTCATAAGCTGCACAAGATACTCAGGAGTTACTAGAGTTCTGCTCAAGATGCGCGTGAATCCAAAGGCTGTGTGGGATATAAAGCTCGCAACTCCCGAGATCCAGTCGAGAGCGGCGTAGGAAAAGCCAACGGATTCGCTGTTCAACAAGGCTGACGGTGTTGGTAGAAGGCTTCTGTTAGAGATGCAGACAGCCTTGGGCAGACCAGTTGTGCCCGAAGAGCAGAGTATGGCCACGGTTTGATCACCGCCCTCCTTCAAGGGTTCCGGTCTAGAGAATATCTCAGTGGGTTTAAGTTTTAGGGAAATATATCTTGTACTTACTCGTAAAACCTTTCAGTAGGGGAAGGATCCAGCAGGATTTCTATGTTAGGTACTCCTGCAACAATATCGGTGAGAATATATATCTCCGGTTGCCATTTCAACGTAGCCTTGTGTATTTTTTCGTATATTTTTCCATCGCAGAATACTAATGAAGGCTTGGTTAGCGAAAATATATGTTTTTGGGTGACTAAAATTAGCAATTTTATATAAATTTAATATATATATATATGATGTGTAATAAGGCAAACCTGCATCCAGCACTAGACTAAGTGAGTGGAATGGTGTTCCATTCATCAGACAGGCCACACCTAAAGACAGCAAATATTTTGAGTTTCTGCTGATATACCTATGACATCCTTGTGACCTAGGCCACGTTTCTTGAAGAACTCAGCTAACCGAATGGCCCAAGTAAGCGACTGATCAAAGGTCACTGTTTCGCCGTTGTCATCCCATATCTGTATAAGAATATATGGTTTTTATTTATTTACTTGTATTTATTTGTTATTTTACTTGGCATATGTTGTCGCCACACTTCCTCATATTGTTGAATATGATGGCACCTAAAGAGGGAACATCTCTAGGGCTGTAGGCTACTGGAAGCCCACTCCATATATTTTCCTGCTCATTGTAGGTTACGGGTAGCTGTGCCATAACTTTATTTAACTTTTAAAGTTGGTTTTCTAGATACACTTAACAAGTTACTATAACTTAATTATTTAGAACGTTGTCTTAAACAAAAGTGGCAGCAGAAAACACCTGACTAAACTCGTAATGCATGAGAATTTTACTTTGTACGTCGTAGCTATTTATATATTCGCTCAGCGGTGCATACAGAATTATCAGTGCCTTATCTTAAATGCATTCTAAATAAAACAAAGGACCGCTTTAAAGATATAATAAAGTAGTGAAGTAAAAGATATAATAAAATAGTCACGAATTAGGGTAATTTTAATGTACACAAAAATCTTTGTTCATAGTTTAGTTATTTATTTATTACACTTTGCATATATTTAAAAATCAAATAACTCCCGCACAGATGCCTTAGAAGCCTCTTCTTCGTCAATTCACACCAATGCCCGCTGCAAATGGACCGAGGGCGAGGTGGACCTCCTCTTTGACCTATCCACACGCTGGGTTTGAGGACGGCGCTACTTCGAAAACGGAATGCCAAGGTCTTCAAGCTGCTGGCCAAGGAGATGGCCAAGCGAAACAGCTACAAGGGTCCAGACAAGCTGCGCATCAAATTCCAGCTACTCCGGCGGATGTACAATAAGGTCAAGAACGGCACGGGGGAAACCTTCGAGCATTATGAAGCCATGCGACAGGTCCTGGATCCCACCGAGGAGGAAGCGGCGGCGGAGGCGGAGGCGGAGGCCAATGTCAGCAGTGCCAGCGAGGGAAGCGACTTCAATGACAGTGATGACGACGAGGGCGATGTTCGCAGAGAAGCGGAAGTAATTAGCGCTTAATACAATTTCCAAATTAAATTTAATTTTAATTGAATTTACAGCTCATTTTTGGACCGACGAAGAGGTGGATGCCTTTTTGCTCATCATCCGGGACAACGGTTTCTTTCGCGCCTTGGACGGCTCTCGGAAGCGAAATTTCCAGACCCTCGTACATATTTCTAATATCCTGGCGAAGCAGGCCATTAAGAGGACCCCACACCAGCTGCGAAATAAGTTGAGATTGCTATTTAAGCGCCATCGCGAGGCCAAGGAGCATGGCCTGGACAATGTCCGGATACTGCCCCGCCACTTTAAGCTCTTCGACGAGATTACCGGTACCTCGCCGCGGGAGAACAGGAAGCGGGTCAAACAGAGACCCATGCGACTGCTTAAATCATCGCTACCCAAGCAATCACCGGTGAAGCTTCAGCCGGAGAGTGACACCGAGGAGGAGTCCAGCTCCACCTGCGATCTGTTGCGAGCTGGCGGCGATGATTACGATGAGGATTACGATGATACTGCCGTGGAGAAGGAGCCCACACCGCTGGAATCTCTCAAGGCCATTATAGAGGGTCAGAAGCATCTCCTGGCGCAAATTAAGACTGCCAACGAGACCCAGCTAAGGCAACAGCGGGACCAGCAGCAACAGTTCCTCGACAAAGTCACCCAACTGATCCGGCGAGAACGGGAGGAAACCCTGCGCAGGATCAGTGAAATGCTGGCGCCCCCTTAATAATTAATTAGAACCCAGCCGGATCGCATCAAGCTTCTAAAACTTTTATTGAATTGAATTCGAAGTTATTGCAAAAAGTTGTCATTATTTATATATAGTATATATATGTATGTCTTCTATATTCATATCCTGTGTGTGTCTGTGTACTTTTTTCCTGCGACAGTGACAGTGTCTCGTGTCCTAGTGGCATTCTCATTCATGGTGAACTGAATTTCGGGGCTGGCAATTCGCAATTGTCTACGATTTATCTAGGTTTGTATAAGTATATACGTAATTTTGAGAGATTTTCTTTCATTATTTTGATATGCTACATTTTTTTTTAAGTTGTATTATTCTTTGGGATTAAGTTAACAGTTTGGGTTTAGGTTTTAACATTAAGCGAAAATGCTCGTAATCTTTGAGTTTCGTTATCGTGTTGCTTGTATACACATCTGTATAGTATAGTATATAGTATATATATCTTGTATATTGTTCGTTTTACAACAACTAAGCAAGCTCGTCATAAAATATGTGTTGCACTCGACAGACCAAAAAAAAAAAAAATAGAACAGAGAAGGTATTTTGAAACTGAAATGCTGCTCTGCTGATATATATCAAGTATTATGTGTATGTTCGTTACGTTACGCTCAGGCACAAAGTGTAAATTACAAATATCTCTCCGCATCTCGCAAAACCATAGGGAGGAGGAAACACAATCAATCAACGGATGCTCTCTTTTGGTGGTTAATTATTGCATTCATTTATCTAGCGGTGTGTGTAAATTAGTTATTATTTTTCATTATTTTATCTTGTGTCTTTTGTGTCTCTTGGAGCACGGCTGAAAGCTTGGCTTGACTTGGCGGCGGCTGCTTTATTTTTCTCAGTGTATGTTTTTGTGTGTGTTTGTGGCAAGGTAACAACAATAACAAGGTGTGTGTGTCTAAGTGGCTGGTATCTCCGGAACACAATCTAAGAGCTGACCGGCTCGGGCAGTGGATTCTCGGTGATGCGTATCTTGTTGCTCTGGGCGCCATAGTAGAGCGTGCCCGAAGTGTCCGTGGTAACGTAGGCACGGTTTCCATTTCCGCTTCCGGCGGCATGGCCATTCATTCCGTTCTCCAGATCCATATCCTCCTCGTCACCGCTATGCTCGTCCGCATTGTTATTGTCCCCCTGATGCTGGCCTCCCGTGTTGGTGCAATTAATGGCCGTCTCCCTTAGGCGATTGCCCACCCGTAGGTTCAGCTGCCGCTGGCGATCCCGCTCCCGTTCTCGTTCGCGCTCCTCCATCGCCTGCTGCTGCTGCTCCCGGAAGTTGGCGAAGAAGATCGAGGAGTACGTGTGGTATTTGGTGCCGCAGGGCGAACTCGCTGGCGTTGACAGCGGCGTTGCTGTGGCAGTTTTATTTTTATAGGTGGTTGTTGTAGGTTGTTGTTGGTTGTTGATTGTTGATTGTCAGTTGTTGGGGGAAGGTAGTAGTAGTTTGGCTTTTGTTATTTACGTTATGTTACTTGAGAACATGTAAGTTGTTGGTTGTTCTTGATGGGTGTTTTTTCTTTATACACTTTCTAAAAGGCTTGGCTGCTGTTTTCGAAATGTTTTGTATTTTTTGTGTGTTGGTGTGTGGTGTGTCTGTGTGTGTTCTTGGCAGATGTGGTCTAAATAATTTAAGTTAAAGTAGGAAAAATAATGCAAGGATGCTAAAATCTATAAGCTATATTAAAGAGTTTCGAAAAACGACTAATCTCCTGAAATGATATTCCAACGATTTTGTGGTGAAATAGGTAACCCTTTTATAAATAAATTCCTTTTTCTTCTATTGGTGTACTTGACAAATCTTCAGAAAATATTTCTATTTTAATGAAAATTGATTTAAAGCTAACCTTTTATTTTATTGAATTTGGAAAATGAATTGTCTATTTTATTTCTTTAAACCCTACTTAAGAATAGAAGTTAGTTTGGCTGTGGAACTTATTAGACTCTAGTATCACCAATAATATCCTAAGCGATTTGATTTCCTTTTAGCTTAAATATGTTGTTCTTAATTTATTAATTAAAATTTAAGTTAAATATTTCAAAATCTTAACAACCATTATTTAGAACACAGAGCTGTCTTGTACGTGTAGTGTCTGGTGCATTTAGCATGATTCGAGATGACAATCTGCTTCTGCTATTGTTACTATTATTATTATTATTCATATTATTGTTCTTGTTGTTGTTGTTTTAGTTGAGATGGATGGAGGGAAGAGAGGAGCAAGCTGAGCGATGAAATTGCGATGAGAGAATACTGATGAACGGCTACTTGGATATGGCATGCGGATGGTTGTTGATATGGAGCCACCTGTTGCTGGGCGAAGAAGTTGCTGCCGATGGACATGTTGCTGCTGTGGAAAAAATACGACGCGACAAGACGCTAGCAAAGCTACATTGCTTCGATTCCCTCTGACGCCGATCCGATTCTTAATTCGAAATTCACGTTCTTCGTTTTATTTAGAATTCTCAAATATACAACAAAAGCTTACACTTTCAATTTTCGTTTTTTTTTTTTAATGTTTTTCGTGTTTATTATGTTTTATATTTTCATTGTTTGTTGACTTTGCGTATGATTAGTGTATGTAATATGTATATAATAGCGTTGTCATGTATGTATATTTGTATAAAGTGTGTATATAAACTTATTGCTTCCATATACTTAAGCTGCGTTGTGTCTGTGTAGGTAAAAAAGCAGCGCATTTTTGCAAAGTACAGTTCCGAATTGGAAGGGTTAACAACACTGTAGATATTGAAAAAAAAAAACGTTTTTGAAATGCTTAATTAGTTCAGAATCACCCAATCCAATGTTAAAAAATGAAATATATGTTGGTCATAAAAAATTCCGAAAGAAATTTCAATTTTAGTTTTTGAATCATTTAATTCATAACAGAATAATTTTAAAATCACCTATTCCATATCTCTATCTAAATTTTGAATACAATTTCCTCACAAAAACTGTTATTTTTCGAATATATTCCCCATGTGCATATTTAAAATTTAGTGAATTAAAGACTTAACAAATATTGTAGCGATTACAGTGATGTTTATCCCTTGCAAAGGGTAAAAACGGGCGAAAAAACGATAGGTATTTACGTAACATACATATAAGCAATGCGTTTTTATTATTATTTAATAATATGCATGTAGACAACAAACGAAATGGAAACTAAATTTGCTCCTGCTTGTTTTTATCTTTTCCCTTAGCTTACAAACTAAAATTCGTAATTATTACAAAAAAGCGGATTAAAATATAAAACAAAGGAGCAACAAAATAAATTTCAATGGAAATCACAGAAGTGGAGAAACCGGAGCGAGAGTTTTGCCCATATGGAAAAGCGCCAACTTGATGGAAACCCCAGATAATATTTTCGAGTGGTTTTGTTATAGTTTTGGTTTTTGTTTTGGGAAGGTGGGTTTCTTTTTTTTGGGGGGAGGTTGTTATCCAAAAGCTCTCACTCTCACTCGGCGCCCCTACGGAATTTAAAGGGGGGCTGTGCCGTTGCTGCTGCTTCTGCTACTGCCAGTGTCGCTGCTCTCTACATTCGCTCTCGTTCACGCTCTGTCGGCGGCTTTGGTCGCCATTTCACTCACTGCACGCTCAGCTCAATTTGCGTGGAACTGCTCCGACTGGCCATTGAGATTTTGCGCGCCAACTTTTGCAGTGTGCCAACAGCTTTTTTTTATTTTGGGGGGGTTTTCGAAAATTTGTTGGTGATTGTTGTCGTAATAGTTGTAGTTGTTGTTGTACATTGTTTTTTGTTTTCAGTTTGCGTGTAAATAAATAAAACAAATGAAAGGTCAAATAAATTAAAGAGTTTGTCGTAAACAAAAGGCTTGTGGGTGGGTGGATGTGTGTTTTTGTGGATAGCGTGGGTTTTCAGGTGAAAAGGAAAATTAAAGAGCATTGGAGAAGCTTAGAAAGAGCATCAAGTTCCTAGCTACCGAGGTGGCACTGTACTCAAACAAGCAAACTACGTGTAGGCAGGCGAGTGTAGGTCAATTTAGCAATTAGAGGCTCTTTTTGGGATTTAAGATGTTGAAATAATTACAAAATTCGAAAAAAAAAAATTGGTACGGAATTAAATTTAAATTTCTACGCATAAAAGAGGAAACATTTTAGATATGATTAAATTAAGAATAGTTTAAAAATTAATGCGTTCACATCCTGTTTAAGAAAAAAAAATGGAATTGGTTAGTTTTTAAAAAACCAATATATTTTAAAAGTCTTTAAACACCTTAAAAAACACAGAGAGCCTCCATTAGCTGGGTGTATGTTTATTTTGTGTGTATTTTTGTCTAAGCTCTACTTTGCCTATATATCTGTATATATATACGAATGTTAATTTGAATTATTGTATTAATTAATTAGCTAAATGCATTCCAACTAGAGATTTTTGGGTTTTCGTTTTTGTTTGTTGCAATTTTTTGTTGGGTATTTTTACTGCTGCTGGGTGCTGCTCAGGTGGCAGATCTTCTACTGAGGTTTCTCGGACACTACGATCACAGGTGCGAAATATATATGTTTGTGTGTTGTTTAGGCACAGGTGTGTGTGTACAAATATACATACCATATACACACGATTATTACAGTTATTTGTTGTTGAAATTATATAGAAAACGCGCAGTTGCATTAGTTAGCGGTTATATTTGTTGAATTATTATTATTTTTGTTGGGGGAATCAGAATTAGAAAACCAATTTCAAAACGAAAAGAAAATTCAGAATTAGAATAGAATTTAAGAGAACGGAACGGAGGAGAAAGTCGTAGGTTAATGCAGCAGAGACCAGGTCGATGGAGTGAAGTTGATTGAATGGAATTGGATAATGGATAATGGCCATGAAATGGAGGGTCGCGTGTGAGAAGTTATGGATTTTTATGGGGTTTATGGCGGTGCGGGGATTCGAGATTATCATCGATTGAAGTTGCAATTTCGTGTGGTAGTTTTGTTTGTATATATTTTTTCATTTGGATTTGTGTTGCGTGTTGTTCGGTTGTTTTTTTGGTATTTTTTTTTATTTTTATTTTTTTGTATGTTGGTTTAGCAAAAACAAGCAGTTTTGGAGAAAGGAAAAAGAAATGAAAAACAAAGTAATGAACATCTTGAAATATCTTTTCTTGTTTTGTTTGTCGTCGTTGTGGATGCGAAAATGCATTAATTGTGTTTTATTCCTAACTATTTTTAGGGGGAAAAGGGTGGGATAATATATATATATATGTTTATAGAAAGTAAACGCTTGATTTTCAACAACTTTTCGATTTTTATTTTGAAATACTTTTGTTTGCGTACAAATACTTGGGTTTTTTCAACATAAATTTGAACGAATTTCAATTTATTTATAGTTTTTTGTTTGTTTTTGGTAAATTTTCTTTTTTTTTTGTATAATTAGCCAATTTATAAATATAGAATTTTGCACAATCAATACTCCGTTTTTTTGGTTTCGTTTCATTGCATCTCAAAAAGCTTTTGATTCTCAAAAAGATACTCGCTTTAGGCTAAGATTAGGTTTTTGGGGATCGCGTGTGTGCGTCGTAGTGTATATATATATATATATTTGAGTGTCTCTATATAGAGAGTATTCAAGGTCTAAAAGGAACTGAACTGAACTGAAGCTATGGAGGAGGGGATCTTACTCCTTAGGGATTTTTGTATGCAAAAAACTGCTAGACTGAACACCGTCCCAGTCGCCGGGTCTGAAGAACTTGGCTAAGGTTAGGTTAGGTTAGGTTTGGGTTGAGTAGTAGTTGTTGTGGGTTAATAGAGGGTTTAGATAGAGTGGGTACAGAGTAGTAAGTAGATTGAGTTGAGATTGTAGCAGAGATTGCTGAGGTTGTTCAGTTGTAGCAGTTGAATGTTGCTGTTGTTCTAGTTGTTTTTTTTCTGGTTGTTGTTGTTGTGGTGGTTGTTGGTGGTTGGTGTGTGCGGTGTTCTAACACTTACCGTAGCCCTCGCCCTGCAAGAAGAGCCGGAAGGCTTCGGCCAGCTTGGCCGGCTGCTCCTCCAGCACCAAAGCGCAATCGGAAATCTGTTAAAATATGAAAAATGTTATTGAAACCAATAAGAAATCAAAGGGATTTTGTATATAGTTGCAGTTGGAATAATGGCAAGCCATTTCCTTTGCCATTTTCCCACTCCAACTAAAGATCCAATATAAACTCTCTAAGAACCTTCATCCATGATGAGTTTGTGGGATCCAGGCGGCCATTGAAGGTCACCGTATCCTCCACATGCGGTGACAGCGAACCCGTGATATTAATCACCGGCATCTTCAGCGTAGTGGCCGCCGTCTCAGTGCCCGGGGTGCCCGGTGGAGTGCGCGCCAAGTGGAGGTCATTGCGATGAATGTACGCATTGATCAGCATGGCCAGGTTGGTCGGGTTAACGCCTCGCTCAAAATGCTGCTTGTACATCTGCACCAAGTCGTGATTACGCTCCTCCGGATTGCGGCCAAAGTGATGCCACATTAGGTAATCGATAACGCCCTGTGTCATGCCCTTGGTGCGCAAGAAGCGGGCGTTGAAGCTCTGATAACCCCACTCGATCCATCCCGACTGCGTGGACACGCAGTTGATCAGGCACAGAGCGCCCACCTTATCCGGATGGGCATGGGCGAAACGTGCCAGAATATTTGCTCCAGCGCCCACACCAAACCCAATCACCGACTTGAGGCCAAAGTGGGAGAGCACAAACAGCAGCTGGGCGGCCAGATCATCCATGGTAGGATACACGTAGCTGTGTGGGCATACATATCTTCAGTCAGAAAAGGTCTGATTATTTTAAGATCAATTCTTACTCCTCTGGCAAAGTGGGGGCACCCTCTTCCTGTCCAGGAGCAGTCACATGGTAAACGCAAAAGTTCTCCAGCAAGCCTCGCATCACTGGGAAGTTGAAGAAGCCAGCAAAGCTGGTGGCATCTGATAGATAAATCCAATTGGTTAGCTTGGTTTTATGAGAACTAAATTAGACTACTCACAGTTGAGGCCCAGATCGTGATAGGTGATTATGGCCGGCTTGGCCGTATCGCCCTGTATGGCCACATGGACATCGCCCTTGTCTGTGGGCACGCGTCGCTGTTCGCAGGCCTCCAAAATGGAGCCGCGGGCATTGGGGAATTGCAGCTGCACAGAGCGCAGTTCGATGTCGTCCATGGGATCAACGGGCATGGTGCTGCAGGAGTAACAACAAACATTGATTAGTAAAGGAGTCGGAGTTTAGGTTTTTCTTAAGTTAGAGCGGCAGCAGCAGTGGCAGCGGCGGCGGCAGCAGGGTCAGCTGTTCATAGACACTGGCATCCTGTGAGTTTTTAGAGTGTGTAGGTGTGTCCTGGTTATCGGGGAACTCTTCTAGAGGCTCTAGGACTACTTGATCGGAGGGCATATTTATATATATATTGCAGGCATGAGTTGATCTCGCTGCTCGACTACTCTCTAGTTTATGGTTCATGTTGTATGCAAAACTCAAAGAAATCAAGACGTTAAGGTAATCAATCGATTGGTTAATCAAACATTCGAAGAGATACTTGGGCTTCGGGGGGATGCTGTTACGGGGTTTTAGTAGTTATATTTAACTCAAATCTAGGCAAGTACTTGCTTACAAACTAATGGTTGTCTCGTAAATCAAATGCTATGTGAAAAGTTAATCAACAAAAGTAACTTAAAATAATAAAGATAAATCATAAGGAAAACTCAAACTCTAGACTTTATTGTCTGTTTTGGGGTGTGTGTGTATATATATTTATATATATTATAGTGTATTTAGTGTGTGTGTTGCATTTTATCTTACATATTCGAAGGGATCGGATATCGGAGATTCGTAATGGGGGGTTGGGGCCTAATTACACACAATTCCCTGGCTGTTTATTCGCTAGTATCGGGCTCTAGTCTTTTTTGGCTTACCCCAGCAGGTGTGCCTCCTCGGCAGTGTGTGTTGGTGCTGACGGCATCTTGGTGGTCAGTGTCTTACCGGATTTGTCGCGGTCTCTGAAAGAGATTCTATGAGCATGCAAGCAAAGAATAACCAAAAGGAACACAAAAATCGAGGCAAGTTTCTGGCTGACTCTGTTACAAATCGGCTAAAAACTTTCATCCTGTTTTATATATCGTATATATCTTTTTGATTTTTTATTTTTGTGGAATTGGAGATCTTATAAGTATTTTTACAGGTCGGGTTTTGGAGAGAGACAGAGTAACACAGACGACAGAGAAACAGGCACAGAGAAAGAAAATAGAGAGTGGGAGCAGCATGGAGCCGGCTGGATGAAGTTGGTGGGTGGTTGGGTGGGTGAATTCTCGCCAAGGTCTCGCCGGGGCTCCTTACGTAAAACGTAAGCGAATGAGTCACGCAATGTCATTCGGGGTAAATGTCGATGGATGAATGTAAGCGCGATGTATGAAAATGGCAAGCGACAAACAAACAAGTGGCGCCAACAAAATGAGACCAGCTGGCATACTAATTTGACTTTCCTTTCCTCGGTCTTCCGCCTTCTTTCACACACACGCAGGAAAAGCGTGGAAAACTTTTGTTTACCGTCCCTCGCTCCCTCTTCTTGGGCTAACACACAAAAAATAAAGGCAACTTTTACTGCAGGGACCGAACTCAATTAGTTAATGCCGGAGGTGTGGGAGCAAGCAACTCGCCCAGGTGAGGAGGGATGAGAGTTCATTATCCTCAAGCAGCTAAGGCAAGGTATATGTATGTATAAAGAGGGTCATGGCTCTTTTCATTATCACCTTTAATTGGTTACGTGATTGGGCCTGTAAGCATCCCACAGAGAGTAATTGCACAAGTCCAGCTTATGACATGAGAAATATTGATGGTATGTCAAGGAAAGGTCTTCAAAAATAATCTAAAACCTAGAAATAGGTCTTAGTTTGGCTAATGTGTAGCTTGAGCCATGTTAACCCACGAGAAAAAGGCTTCCAAATATAATAAGAAGTAATATAATAGAATTTAATCGTTCCTTTTGTAGGAAATCCTTTTAAACTCAGCTTTCTAAAGACTATTTAAGTATATATATTACTTTAAAGTTTCTCAAGAGTAAAATTTCAAGTAACACACAGCTTTCTTTCTTAATAAACCATATTTTAAACACTACTCTGTCATTTGAAACCCAGTTTCACCTGGTAAACCAGTAACCTTAATTGCTAAAAGAGAGACACACATTAAGCTGACTAATTACAGGCCTTCCATAAATCCATTATTAATCTAGACAATCAATTTCTGAAACAGAGCACGCGCATGAGCCCCTTGGGGACGGTGGGCAGAAAGTAAAAATATATGAAATGGAGAAGAGCTTGACGCTGAGGGACCGACTCCTGGTAATCAGATGTTTGCTTACTTAAGGCTTCTTTGCTTTCTTGAAATCGCCCAGCAATAACTGAGAAATCCCAGCTAAAACCGGTATGTATCAGAAAACTCCAAGCACAAGAAATAAGTAAGTGCAATGCACCGGCGAACGGCAAGACTGTAAACAGTAAGTGCGATCTGGAGTCGGGAATATACATATATACATATGTATACACTGTTTTCATATTTACGAGGCAAATATTAATTGGACTAAATCACAGGGCAGGAGGCATCACTTACGAACAATGTCAGTACGGTGTCTGTGCGGAAATATTAATTAAAACCACTTGAGATCGTATGAATAATTTCCAAGAGTGGACGCAAAAAATAGAACGAATGTGGGTCGCAGCCGGCGACCAACTAACTAAACTAAACTATAACGACCTGAGAGACACAGCTAGACTCAGCTTTTAGTTTATTTTCTGAGCTTTGTTTGCTCTGCTCTCGGTTGGGGCTTGTTGTATTGACAAAACTGCAAAAACTGCAAACTGCAGAGTGACCTTGAGCCATGGCTAACCAGAAAAGAAGTTACATTTCCTGCTTGCTTATTTTTAAGGGGTCTACACTATAAACAAATGCTCTATTTAATGGGAATTTAAATTAAATTTGTCGAGATCTAGTCAATTTTTAAACGCTTAAGAATCATCTAAACAGTTACTTAAAGTCTGTAAATTCTATAGACAATCAGAAACTTATTTAAAGCTCCTAAAGAATTTCGATTTAAAGTTTCAAGACTTAAATCTACTTTCTGGGGTTTTCATAACATTTCAAAATGTTTTTTAAAGATATATTAATAATCATAATAATCACATAATCATAATATTCCACTTTCCCTAATTAGCTAGCTGGGCCGCTTTAATTTCAATGCTGATGAATGATGTAATGCCATAAATGATGTATGAATGCAAGGCTTTAAATATACATCACATATATATATAATGCTTTCTTCTGGTGGTGGCCAAATTCAAATCAAATGCAAAGTGCCTTAAGTCAAGAAAAAAACCAACACAAAATTGTAACTAAAAACAGAAGCTCACAACAACCACAATCAAAGGCAAGAAAAGCAAAAAGAAACAAACATTTTGGATAGACATGCAATCGCAATTAAGCTTCAGAGGGGGATTTTGGGGCCTGGAAAAGCGGCAAGGAAGCTTTGATGTTCTGTATTTAAGTGAGCTACACAGCGAATTAGGTGTTATAAAACTTGCCAACTTTGGTTTCTTACATTTATATATTTTATAGCCCTTAGATATTACACTTGAAATAATATATTTGAGTATGTAAAACTCGATTTGAAATGTACAGATGAAGCTTAGCTAAACATTTTTTCCTTATTATTTAAAGAGCTAATTAACCCGTGTCTTAGCTAGACTAAGTATGGTAAATAATGCTAAAAACTTGCTATACATAAATTAATAATTTTTAAGTGCCTTTTCTTGTTTCCAACAGACAATTATTTTCTGAATTGAACAACAATAAATGAAAACGGACATGTAGTCTGGTAACTTGATTTTTAATCACATAGAATTGCTGAAGTTCTAGAACCCCAAAATACACAAAAAATAAACCTTAAAAAAAACCCAATCCTAAGCACAACCTTTCAAAACCTCCTTAAAGAAATATCAACAATATTCCACTGTTTAATAAGTACGTTCAGTATGTGTTTTTGTTCTCAGTGTAGGAAAAAAGAGTGGGTCAATTGGTGATTGGGCTGTGGGGTGGACGTGCTAAAAAGGGGGGCAATATGGTACGAGTAATTCAGAAGGAGGAGTCTTGTGTTCCGGCGTTGGTGATTATTAAGAGTGATTGGCGGAGGGCTCACCGTCGCGCAGCGAAGAGAAGGATCCCCTCACCTGGGGCTGGGTCTAACTTACCTGGCGCCAACGCCAACGATGACCGGCTGGCGCTCCGTGCGGAGCAGATCCTCGCTGTCATTTGGCGAGGACTTGATGGCCTGGCCAAGCGCCCGCTTCATGCTCTCAAAGACCGAAGGCGGGGCGGTGGGCTCTGTGGTCGACTGATAGATGGCGCTGCCATTGCCATTGACGGCCGGCAGCGATACATAGCCGCCCTCGGACTGTGGCATGCTTGGTCTTTATGTTTCTTTTCTTGCTTTAGTTTATTTAATCTTTATATCAGTTAATGCCCAGCTTTATATGAATTTGAATTTGGAGTACTTGTACTTAGCTGACTTTGATTTTCGGTTTTAACAAAAGAAAAACTGATATTTCCACTGTGCATGCAAGTGTGAGTCGTTGTTGTTGGTGTGTTTTGGTGATTGTGGTGTTGTTGTTGTTGTTGTTGGTGGTGCATGTTTTATTTCATTTTTTTGTCGTGATTTGTATATTAACAATGCATTTAATTCATCATCAGCAGCAGCGTCGAGGTGTATGTTTTTTATTTATTTGATTTTATTTAGCCGGCAGACAGACAGACATATACAAAGAGCAGTTCGTCGATTTTAGATTGAATTATATGTATATATATTTGGCAGCAGCGCAGCAGCGGCGTCACAAACGTCACAAAACATAAATCATATAAAAATAAACAAGAGAAAGAGTACACAAAAAATATAATAATAACAAAAGCAACGAAAATAATGACGATGAGTTTTTGAGTCACACCAAAACCAGATTGTCAGGGAGGTTCACCCACAACAGCTTCGAAAAATGATTACCACGGTTAATATAAGCACCGAGCCATAACTACAGTGAGACATTGCTAACACCGACATATTTGTTAGTTAAGCCTTAAAGCCTTGCTTTACTTCTTAAACTAGTTTATAATGTGGAAAAGCAGCAAGCAAATACAGCAGAGATTGGTAACAAAATAAAGCCACAACCAACTTATATTATTAGCAGATATTTAAGGAACTTTTAGGCCTTGAAAACTCATAAAAAAAGGTATACAAGAGTTGATTCTTTAACCTATTGATAAGATAAGACCTGCAAATAATTATATGTAGGGGGAACGAAAGTGATTCATCATATTTTTGGGAATTGCAATATTTATTTGGCATTATTTATCAAATACAGACAAGCTTATTTATTATTAATTCTTTTGCTAAGCCTCTTAAAGCTTTTGCACTATAATGCCATATTTAATACCCCAACTCTTTACTAACCTAGCTAAAACTTGGTAGAGATTTTGTAAAATTCAAGACCTCAATAAACATTTGGCATCGTTAAGCGCTGGCATTGCACGGGAAAACTGAGCCTGGGCGTCAATGTACGTACTTGAAAGAAAATATGCAGGCCAAGCCGCAATGTAGGGGGGATGGAAACACAGAGAGAGAGAGAGATAGAGAGAGGGAAAACTGCATCAACCTCATAACCCCTAAACACCCTAAAGCCCTGCCATTCGCCAGAGCACATATGCATTACATTAACCCAGTTTGGGCCAAGGGTTTGAGGCCTGCTCTCCACGTGCCCTGGCTTAAAGCCAAAAGTGGGCCAAAAGCATGAAAATTTCACACATACCCAGGAGGACAAAATGTGTGTTGTATGCACCCCTCTTTAATTTTCGGGAGGTCTTCGAGCTTCTGGAGCTGATTAAGTGCGTCATGCGAAGCAAATTTATCAACTAATAATCACCAGACAGCAACAAAGCAAATGCAAACGCTTCAAAACTAATGACGCAGCCCCACCAGATACAGATAAAAGTATATATAGTATTTATATACTACAACAAATGTGTAACTGTATAAACTCAGACAACAAACAACACAAAAACTCGTTATAAATATATACTTTTTTTGCGTCTTACGTTATAGAACCCAGTCAAGCTAAGCAATTTGAATTCATTTCCAAGCTGGGACCACAGTGCGTATGATGAATGAGCCTCCAGGTAGGGCGGAGAAAAAAATATATAGAAAGCTATCCAGTAGAGGAGGAGCTTCACATTTTAGAGTTTTATTATGCAAAGGCCAATGGACTTGAACATTTTATTGCTCATTACCCAATTTAGCTGCAATGTTATCTGCATAATTTAGCCATTCAAAAGAACAAACTTTTGTCATAAAAAACAGAAACATCAGCAGATCAGGGCAAAAGTAAGGCAGCTAAAAAAATTGTAGCATAAAATCTGAAATCATGACTTGATAATTTTATAGATTTTACCAAGCATTTGCTGACGATTTCTTTGTTCTTATCTTGTTATCTTGTTCAGGGTCTTGACTCTCTCTGATTGCTTTTCAGAAGCTCTTCAGAGATCTCTCACATTTTTCTTCAATTGTTATAGAGATATCTCTTTACAAAGAATGTGTTTGTATAATGTAAATATGGAAAATCAAACAAAGAAAATAAGAGTTTATCTCAGCTTTTATTGAGTTTGCTGTTATTTCTTTAGTAAAAATATATTAAAATTCATTATCAAGTTACTGGAGGAAGTTGTTGATGAAAGGGAAGCCCTTAGGTTATATTCACTCAGTAAATGATTAATGTATAAGAAAATGGTTAATATGAAACCAAATCACCAAATTTTATATTTGTATACCTTGTTTATTAGGTTATTTATATCTACAATTTAAAATCCAATAGATACCGCTCTTAAAACCTCACTGACAGCACATTTAAAGTTCCTGAAGCCGTAGGCTAGGTCCCAAATGGAATTTCCACCCTCTCCCACACGGAAAACTCAGTCAGTGTTGAGCTCAACTTTGACCTTTGCTGGGCGATTTATGGGCGCTGATAAAGTTGCGCTTGCACTTTTCACCTCGGCCACACGAAATGATATAATGACACTAGCGTCGCCATATTCAGATACTATATGTTTTATATGAACACCCAGCTAGGCTTTAGCGATTTATCGACGGCATCTGGGGCACTTCAATTCCAATAATTGCAGACCCAGCCAGCGTATAGTGTGCCATTTATGGCGAATTATTCATAATTGCGATTGCACGTGAAGGAGGCACTCTGCCCGAGTGCGAGGAGTGCAGGGCAAAGACACTATTTTCTTTTTTATTTTCCTCGAACCATGGAAATTAGCTTGGGCGTATGACGTGCCTTGGCTCTGCCATAGTTGCTTTTCCGGCCTTTTGCCAAAGGAGCACACGGGAAAATATCGACAATTTGGCACGGTAGCCCATGGCAACCGTTGGCAGGTCAACGGGCAACAACAAACCCGGCTCTCTTAGTCAATAGTGTTGCATACTATATACATAAAAGTACCCAACATTTCGGGTTTCTAGATTACCTTAAAATCTTAATTAATTTAGATTGTATTGACAGTTTTGTGGTGATTTTATTTACTTGCTAAACCTAAGGTCAGGTTTAAATAATTTACAATTCTAATTTTCTATTTAAAGTTTGCTTTAGTAAACTCCCAAGACTTCCCCTACTACTTGTATTTCAAATACCTTCAAAGGTGGCTTTTCCCCCATCTGCAAAATATTTTCCAAACTATTCTATTGACTGCAATTTGTCCGAGGCCTTCAAGGATATCCGTGCCTCCCGTAGAGACAAATTTGCAAAAACAGAAATTATTCAAATGTTCTTAGGTCTCCTTCAAGCGGCACTACTACTACCTGTTCGGAGGGGGGCGTGGCAATGGGGAGATCAGAGGTTATGGGGCCAGCAAATCACATAAAGGAAATGTCACGCTATGTCAGGCCGCAGGCCAACGAAAATACGAATAAAAAAAATAAAACAAGCAGAAACGTACCAAATCACACTCTGCTCAACGTCAGAGCGTTGTTGCAGGATACACTGGAGGAAAAAGTATCAGGAATGCAAGGATATTGGGTATACTATTGTAAGAGTGGTTATAGGAGATACTTTCTTCGTTAAGAAGTTGGGGTAGTCTTTAATTTATTTTTACTCTTGCAGGGTTATAATTTTGTCAGAAGACCGAATCGCTGTATTGTATATATACATATATATTATTGATCAGCATCAAAACCGAGTCTTCCAAGACATATTTGGGAAAAACAATTTTGAACAATTTTTTTTAATTTTATGAGGGCTAAAATTAATTTTTGTAATATTATATTAAGTATAATGTTTTCTTGGCTAGTTATGAGTTTTTTAAACTCTCATTTGACAAAAAAATATAATATAAAAATATTGATAAATATAATTTAAAGAATGCAAATGCGAATTTATTATAAATTTCAATACGTTCTATAATTCAATTGCAAACTGTAAGGACATATAAACTTCTGATTAAGCAGTTAGCTTCCTTTTTGTTCCTTTGTGTGAATGAGTTTGTTTTAAAGTCTCGTTTTAAGGATTTTATTAAATGATATGAAGATAGTAATTCTTAAATTTAATGAAATTACCTCCAGAACTTTGACTCTTTTTTTTTGAATGTTCACGATTAGACATAAATAATATTTTTAGAAATTACCCTCCTTTGAAGGCTTTTAAAAATTGCTAAAATCTTTCAACTACAATTATTATCCAAGTGTTTTTTTGGACTATATATGAGGGGGCGTCGACGTGGCAAGTAGGGAGGTGTTGGGTTGTGGGACAGCAGGTTGCTCTACTGTTACGTGTTTGCAATCGATTTGAAAGTTACATAAAAACAGAGCCACAGAGCAAGGGCAAAAAGGGATGGCCAGAGAGAGGGTCAAAGGTGGGAAAAGAATGCCATGAGAGTTGGTAAACACCTGAGCGGACAACAAACAACAACAACAGCAGCAACAAGGCGCCAAAAGCAATTTGTGAGCTCAACTTTTCTTTGTGTTTGTCTTTTATTTTTTGCGTTCTTCCTTTTTTTTTGGTAAACTGACCTACGCATTAAATATGCAGGAAAGTTAAACAGAAGATAGATATATACACTATGGCTAGAATCGGAACAGACGACGACTAACGAATATTGCCTGGCGATGGCGATGGCGCCGACAGGTTACAACTGTGTGGAGTCATCAAAGGGAACCCCACCCCATCGGCCAAATGGTGGTACCCCCCAGGTTTCCACACCCAAAACGCCACCGCCAAGAGCAATAAAATTTCACAAAACAGCAAATAACAAATGTCTGCCCAGGAACAGTAAACACTGTCAATGGTTAAACCAATTAGGTAAGAAGTTGGGGACAACGGAGACAGGTCAGTTGGTTGACGTAAATAAACTGTCAATTTATTGTGCGGTTTGTTTTTGAATGGTTTAGGAACAAAAAGAAAAAAGAAAACTGCAAAACAGCTTCAAGAACCTCCAAAGAAAAAGTTGGGTTATTTGTGGTACTGTGCCAGGGATTAGATACAAGATATAGTATCTGTTGTAATTTTGATTATTTATCACACGACTTCATAATATATTTATTTTACTTTGTAGTGAAGTAAGAAAAAAAATGGGATATTTATTGAGAATATCTAAGCTTTTTAATTAAACTAATTTTAAAAGCGTTTTTATCGAAAATAATGTTTGAATATCTAAGAAACATCCTTTTTCAAAGGAAAGTTATATTCCGAGTATTTTGAACATTATTCCCCTTACATACAAGATAAATTATATTCTTATATTTAGATAATTAATTAAGTGGGAAAAAGTTTTGAATTTTCCTCTATTACATTTCTTACATCAACTCCTTTGTGTGTGTTTTAAAACGGAAAAATCATTGAGAAAACTATATTTTTCAGTGCATTATCTCAACACTAGCACTGATTGGGAATAACTTCCAACTGGAAATGCAGCTGGAGTTGTTCCGTAAAAAATGCTTCACTGTGCCAGCTGCTGGAATGATTGCGGCGAAGTTAGTTGGAGGTCGTTTACAGCTGAGAATCACCAGCTCCGGCGGAGAGAGAGCGAGCGAGGGAGAAATGGGAGCCAGAGAGTGAAAGAGAGGGCGCGGAGGAATGGTGGCATTACGTCAGAGCCCCAGAAGCCATTTGGGGCTTGTCAAAATTAGCAGCCAGAAAAGCCAGGAAAACCCAAATGAAACCCGAAACCCAAAACGAATAAAAACGAACATAATAAACTAAGGAATTAGTAAAGATATGAGACAAGCAACAACAACAACAGTGATAACAAGCAACAACAGTAAAAACATGCAGGTGAGGCGCAACTCCTAACAACTAACTGTTAACTAAGACAAAAACGAACAAAAAGAAGTGTGCAAAAATATAGAGTTGGTGCTAATTGGCAGAAACCAGGGGAAGAAGGTAAAAAAAACAGATACTTGGATGCAAATGAAAAGTTTAGATGAGGCAGCGTGTTTTTTTTTCTGGTAATGGGGGCGAGCGCAGAGATTTGAGAGAAATACAGACAGTGAGAGACAGGCGGAGAGAGAGAAAAGGAAAGAGGGGGAGAAGTGGTAGAGAACTGCAACAAAACAAATGCACACCAGGGGCACTCGCAGGAAGAGAAAAAAAGAAGGGGAGCTGGAATATCAACTCCCCTCCTTTTTCCACCTGTCCAATTTGCATTTGTTTTGTTGTCTTGTCCGCCTTTTGCACTTGTATGTGTGTTAATTGTGCCTGCTGTGGGTGTGTGTTTCGGTAATTATGTGTGTGTGTGTGCGCGGTTGGATATTAAAAACTCACCTGACGCTTTCCGTTCTTTTTCTTCCTCTTTTCCTGACCCCAAATGAGCGATATCGGGATTCTCGTGGAAAACTACTGTGATGCCGCCGCTTGTCGTCCGCTTTTCCGCTCTCCCGAGTCGTCAAACAGTAAGAAACACCGTTTGTTAATTGCCACCGCAGAAAAACAACAACAATAAGAACGGAGGAGTCGCCTATGAAAAAATCAATACTTGGTCTCGGCCAACGTTTCTTTTCTCCCCCCTTCCTTTGACTTTTTTTTACAACTTGTGTAATTTCTGTGTGCTCGTTCTTTTCGCTCGCTTTTTTCTCTCGCTCGCGCACACGCACTCGCACACACACACGCCCGCTGGTCGCGATTGCAATGTAATTTTCTTAATTTTCCTCGGGATCAATTTCAATTTTTTGTAATTTCGCTGCCAGCTGCTTTTTTAGTCTGCCAGCTTTTTTGTGTCTGCTGCAAGCTTTCGGAACAACACGATAGAGGTGGACAACAGTCGATAAAAGTACCAGGGCTGTGAACTCTTGAAAAAAGCTAAAGCTAAAGAAATAGCTAAAAATCACAACTTTTAGCTAAACACGTATATATCGAATACCTGTACAACAGTCAGTTCATTTTAACATTATATCATTAATTGTAATAACTTAATAAAAAAATCTTTTTTTCGATTAATCTCCTATTTGCCATTTGGTAATTGATTGATCTAGTGGGAAAATAGCTAAATTGGCTACATATACCAGGACCGATTACAATATCGATATCGTTTGCGAAAATAGATACCATTTTACGAGCTGCAAATACATCGATTTGTAGTATTTAATTTATTTATTTATTTATTTTTTTTTTTCAATTTACTTTAATGTATTTCAATAAATGTATTTACCTATCTATTGTTATTAATATTTTCTGACGTATGGAACGGTTAAACTGCAATGCTTTTAAGTGCCATCACTAAACAGCTGATTCGCACGACTGAAGAAGTAGAAAATACAGCATGCTTAAAATATAAAACTTTGCGCGTAGTTTTGAAAGATATTTATTAGTGTGAAAATTTAATGAACAACCAGTCATCAACCAAGTACATACCCCTCTGATTATGAGTTCTTGAAGTTATTGATTGCCACATATCTTTTGCAGCCATGCCGCGACGCTACAGATCAGCCCGGGAGCTAGCCAGGCTGAATGCCTCGTTGTGTTCTAAGGACAATGATAATGAATTCGATTCCGACAGCGATTCTGAGAAGGACGAAACTTTGGGAAAGGGCAATGAATCGGAGGCGGTAATGCGACGTGCCCTAGAAGTGGTGCACCACTCATCGTTTCCGGGCCAGATCGCCGGTATGTTGGGTCAGGAGCTGCACGAGCTAGACGAGGACGAAAACCAGATATTTCCAAATTGTTCAGTGGGAGTCCCAATACCCATCTTTCTGCCCCTCGATGGCCAATCGCCGCACATCGAACCCTGCGTGCAGAGACCGCACGACTACGACCACTGGATACGGCTAATGAATAACTACAAGGTTCAGTACATTAGGGCGACCAAGAGGATGAAGCAGCGGGAAAAGAAGCATCAGGAAAATATCTACGATATGAGGCTCTTCGATATGGCAGAGCATATAGCCGGTCAGGAGAATCCATTCTTTCGGGATAGCTACGATTATTATTACACGGGCGGCAACGTCAACACGATGCCCTTCCAAGATACTAACCTGGCCATGCATGTCAGCGGCAAGAAGCTGAACGAGCTGCACATCTCCACCATCAACAGTGAGCCGAATATGTGGCAGACGATTCACTCGGAAGAACTGCAGGATACCTCGAGCGAACTCTTTGAAGTAATGCCCGTGGAAACTTTTGGGGCGAACAATGGCCACATGTTCATGGGCGTTTTCTCAAGGAGATATCCCTGTATGAGTTTAAGCGCCAGGAGCCTAAAGAGGAGGATGAGCGTGAGTCACCAGAATACCGATTGATTGCCAAAGCAAATTTAGCAGTGAAGCGGCTCCTTTTACAAGCGCCTGCCAGTCGGTGGGTAAGCCCAACATCATGGCCTTGGCCAGCCAAGATCGTTCTCTACGCTTCCTGGACATGCTAACCCAGCAGTACGTGGCCAACCATGATGTTTGTTGGGTCAAGGAACTAAAGCATTCCACCAGTACCTGGGCACAATTAATGCCAGCGGATAGAAGCACCTTTCACTTTCTTACCCAACCGGTGCTCCTCACAGTGGACGAGAGATGCGATCAGTCACTGAATCCCTGCTTTGCCAGCAGCTTTCGGTCGAAGACCTGCGAGACCTTCTCCTGCTTGGGCAAGGGCATGAATACCAACTTGCTCTATGTGGCCAGTAATCACAAACTTCACTGTTTGGACCTGCGCTGTATGGGTAAGAAACTCACCGATCGTGCGGTGGTCACGTGGACCCATCAAATGAGCTATCCTCCGTGTTTTATGGACACTTGCGTGCACGACGGCAGCGAATATATAGCCTTGGGAGGCCCCTTGCCTACCGATTTGCGTATCTGTGAACTCAAGGGATCTCTGGCCCAGTTATACGATGAAGTGTTCTCGCCGGCTTTAGCATATGCTCCTCCCTCGCTACAAGAAGCTCTGACAGATGCACGATTGAAAGACTGCGTGGATATTTATACTGATCTTCCGGAACGGGTAAAGGCCTGCATTACCGGTCTTCGGTTCAGCCGCTTGGACAGTAGCAACGATCAAGCCTTTGCCCAGCTCCTGACAGCCAACAGTCTGGGTGATCTCTACTCTCAGAGACTTACGCCTCGCGATGACGGCGAACGCATTCAAGAGATCCGAACGGGCCTGCATACCACCGAAGCCATTCGCTACTACGGCAGTCAAGTCCAGAAGCATGTGCAAAGCAGGAAACTGTGTTGCACCGAAGTGCAATCTAGACCACAGATAAGAGAGATTTTTAAGGAGGCAGTCAAAAGACCTGAGCCCGATGTGAAACCCATGATCATAGAACACATTGATATAGACTGGGGTATCGAGGATACAGAAATTTCAGATAATGACAGCCAAAGTTCCCAGGAACCAAAAACATCCAAATGCAAAAAGGGAAGGCAAAAAAGGAAACCAGATACAAAGGGCAAGGAAAAACCCAAAGAGAAGACCAAGAAGGACCTGACACGTCAATCCAAAGATAAACCAGTTACGTTTAATATAAAAAAAGACAAGGGCATCAATCGTGGATCCTGGCAAAAGTCCGCTTACCAGATGGCCCGCTACAAGGACATGCTTACCGTCAGGATGCTAGAGATCTGGGACATGGAAGATTACGATCCTGCTCGTGATGTGACCCGAGAAATGATAGAGGAAAAGTTGCCAAAGGAACTGAAACCAGAGAACCGAATGGCCACCTGGCTGGATCAACTGTCTAGCGAACCAGCAGAACTACGACTAGTCGTGGAGGCGGATGAGGAGGCCGGACGACTTAATCCTAATCTGGTGCCGGGCACTAATCTACCCAAACTCTATGGGCCATCACATCAGAGTATACTCAGGTATCCTTCGCTCCGGTAAATGAGGAATATGAAGATCCAACGAACAGCTTCAAGCTTGATCAGAGCGACAGCTACCAGATGCCTTCTATTCTGCAGCCCGGAGAGAATACAATTATAGAATGTGGCTTGGACATCAATTCACCACCCGCTAAGCGTCCCAAGACCAAGTACACCATGGGATTCTAGATTAACTTTAATATTATTTTCGTATCTTAAATACTAGACGTTAGCTTCGAATAAAGGTGTAATTTTTAGTTGTTAAAGAATTTTTTATAAGCATTTTGTTAACACAAATAAAATGTATTATTATAAAGGAAGACTTATATCGGAAAACTAATATTTGTTAATAGAATTCTGTTGATTGTGAAAATAATGTCTGTGAACCACTAAGTGCCATTGACAGGTTTATATAATAATTTAATTCAATTTTAATGTACACCATTCACCCTTTCTCTATGAACAGCTGACACAGAGTCTTAGTAAGCACTGCATCTAAATCTGCCACTTAAAATATCATTTAAATTATATTTTCACTAGAAAAGGTAAGGAAACTCCTGATATATACTTGCCATTTTCGTGCAAATTCACTGGTTGTGGCTATATCCCCACCGAGATCGGGTTCGTAGGCAGGATTCTCGATTCCTCCAATAGGCTCCACCACAAAACGATCATTCTTGCGCTTAAGGGCATAGCCCAGAGATCGACTTCCCATTTGGGGTTTATTTTGCACTTCTTGACGCATTTCTTTTCTGATTTGAACACCAAAAACACGACCGTTTTGAGAGTGTCACTGATTTCGACTGATTTTTCAATTAATTTGGTCAGTTTACATTTAATTGATTCGATCTATTTTATCTATTGCTTGTCGGAGCTCAGTGGGGCGTAAAACGATCCAAGGGTGATACTATTCGTATCCATGGGAGTGGCCATAGAATATAGAATATATAGTATAGTCAGCCAGAGCTAAGCTCAATAGATATCAGGCCAAAGCTATGGTAAGCTTATCGGACATTTAAAATATATAGACACCAAGTGACGAAATTATTAACCAAAGCTTCTGATTTTCGATGAATATATATTATTATTTTTATATAAATATTGAGATTACAGCGGTTTCACGAGGCTTTGATTTATTAATTTATGACAATTTGCTGGCGAATTGAACACTCAGTGGGAATATTTTAGACCCTGAAAAAATTATTAATATTATTCTTCTATAAATAAGATTAGGTATAAATAATTTCTAGTAATTTATGAAATGTTTTATTACCCAATCATTTAATTAGTCTATTTTCTCTAACTCCTCCCAAAAATTTTTGGCGCCTGCGCTTCCCAAAAAATGGGCGGAGCTTTGGTGTATCCTCAACGTTGTGGCATAAATGTTGCCTGCAACATGTTGTCCACCTTGAATCCTGTCGCAGCTTCCTTTCAGTTACATTCGAAAAATTAATCGAGTAGGTTGTGTGTCCTCTGTGTTTCATATATTTTCGCATCCTTCGGTTTTTGGTTAAGGTTTTTTCAAACAATAATTAACTAAAACACAACAAATTACATTTTTGGAATACGTTCAAGTGCTTTCATTTTCTCTGTAAGTGTTAATTAAATAAAAACTATGTGTGCTCCTTAAAAAAACATAATAACTAGATTTAAAAATAAAATTTGTATACTTAAATTTAGAAGCAAATACATATTTTGGTATAGGATTGTAAGATAAACCCTAACCATAATTTTAGAACTTTAAAGGGTATTTATTATAGTCAGAAGTATCATAAAAAATGGATCATCATCAATAGCCGATCTGGATATTGGAAAGTTAAAAAATTACTACATTTTTTAAAAATGTATAAGCAGTTACATCGTTAATTTTTCAAGAATTTCACAAAAATATATTTAATTTGTTATAATTTTAAATGAAATATGCATTTTTTTAACTTTTAATAAGCAACGTACAAGAGTGTACCGAATTAAAATCAATAGTTATGGCCGATTTTGAATTCATTTTTCTAATTTAATACCAAACTTCAAGAGTATATAAACTTCGGCTTCTTTTTTATGTTATCATCTATTTTTTCATTCACTTGATCCGCCCCTGAGAAAGCAAGCAATTTGATTACGTGGACAAGTGCTCTTTTCTTGTCACTCTTTCTGCTCCCCACCATTTCACATCGTTGGAATCGCTCTTGATCTTTCTTTCTCTCGTACTCTTTCCATTTGGAGCTTAAGTATGGGGTAGAGTTCCCCACGATTGCTCACCTAATAGCTGCGTCTCTTTTTCACAGACACTCTCTTTTTGTGGAAGCATGTGGGTGCACTTAAAAGAATTGTTTGGTTTATCAGACGAATAATATATAAAACTTGTGTGAACTTTTTCTGGCTTTAATTTAATTTACAGATTTGTATTTAAAAGCATATAGCTTTGATTAATTAGCCGGTTAATTTGCAAATATTGCGTGGCCTATTCTTCTTGATCCATTAGAATAAATAGCAATGAACTCTTATATGATATTAATAGTGAATAAATAAAGGTTGTCCCTTAAATGTAATTTTGCCAACTTAAATTTAAACATACAAATCTGGTGTATAATTCAAGTCTCCAATCTTATCGTAAACTATTTTCCGCAGTGTAACGACCGCGAGTAGTAAAACTACGTCGACGCCGTGCTTCCAGCAATTCAGTGGCCGCACTTCGATCGCAGTGGACGTGTTTTTTCCTCTCGCCTACTCTCGCCGTTTGCTCGCGTGTTTTGTGTGCTTCTCGCCGATCCATCGCATCCGCCCCCATCCGTCCCTCCGCCGGAACCGAGTGATATCCGTTTTGTGGAAGATAAAAGGTATATTTGCAGATATCAGACCGAAACTCGTGTGCTTGGCTTAGCGTAAATACATATTTATAAAATGTGCTCATTAAGAAACAAAACGTCGAAGAAATCGAAGAAAGCGTGTACTTTGCCATTGCTGTCGTGTCTCTTTCATTCATATTCACTTCACGCACACACTCACACATGCATCCAAAGGCCCCTAAGAAAACTGAACTAAAAAAGAAGAGGCCGGTAATGGCCTAAGAGAGAGAGAGAGAGGGAGAGGGAGATGTCCAGCTTATCGCTTAAAACCATAAAAATAAAACAAAAAATATTACCGGGCGGTACTTGTTTTTGTTGTTTTCCTTTCGACTAGCCACGATCGTCGCTCAATAATTAGCATTTTGTTGTTGTTTCGAAAGCTAGAAGAAAAACTAATGACGTGTAGTTTAAGAAGAAAATTTCCCGAAAACATTTAGCGCCGGCCTGTCAATTGGAGGTTTAACGGTACACTTCGTACCTCCGGAGGTTCAGTGAACCTTTTTTTCTCGTCTTTGAAAAGATACGAAAGATACAAAGAAAAAGGAGATGAAAATACACAGGTGAAAAAGAAGAAGCCGCTCACCCCCAACAGGTTTTAAGAGCTCCCAAAAAAAGGCCAACTTTAAAAAAATAAAAAAGAAGCAGAAACAAAAGGAGAGCAGAGCAAGAAGAAGAAGCTGATGCAGAGATCGGGGAGATGTTAATGCCGATTCCACGTAATTGAGGCTTGACCATTGCCTTTCCATTAGTGAAAGTTTTCCAACTATATAAAGTCGCCCATATATCAGTTTTTTTTTGTGTTATCTGTTTTGCCATTTTTAGTTATTTTTTGTTAAGCGACGATTTGAATTTTTTGTTTTGCAAATCATTTATAATACCCTTTTGAGGAGTATTTGGAATAAGCTTCAAGTTTGCAGGGTTTTTTATATTTCTATCAACATAGTAAATATTTTTGTAAACATTATTTTTCAACGTTTGTAAACTAAACGTATTTTTTATATCTTTGCATGGTATTATAATCAAAAGTAGAAGCTGCAACACAGTAAAGGGACCATTTCCGACCTTATAAATCATTTACATATATTATTGATCAGTTTCAAAAGCCGATCAGTTAAAAAACCGACGCGATTTATCCATGTATGGAAGAAAACAAATTTTGATCATTACAACATCCTTAAAGTAGTAAAAAATTCATTAAGCAGACTTTTTAACGTAATAAAAGTACATAGGAAAGTTTTCCGAATTAAAATTAATTCATTTTTGCTTTACTTTTGATTCTATTTCTAATTTAACAAAGTCAAAATGAAGGTATTAAACATTCCCCATAGCTAAGCTTGACTTTCTTCTTTTTTAAGCTATGCTATATTTTAGCTTTACCTTCTTTTAACACGTCGACCTACGCGCTTTCATCGCCAAACTTTCATTAAAAAAATACAAAATAAAAAAGCAACACCCACATCCGACATCCAATTGGAATTTACCGCGCTGGACATTACGCATACGCCACCATGTACGCGCAATAATTTTGTTGGCTTTAGCCGCCACACTCTGTGGCTTGCATAATCCCCACCAGCTGGCCATCCGAATGGTACAAGCTGGTTGGCTGGCTGGTCGAAATCGGCAGTAGCAGCTCCCTCTCCCCACTTTGAAATGAATTGCACATTTGCATAATGACTAATTTTTGCCGTTTGTGCCGCATCCCATTCGCAATCGCAACAAACCCGACCCCTCTTTCAATTTCAATTTCAACTTTACACTGTTGAGCAAAAATAAACCAAACCAAAAAAAAAGAAGAGATATTACACCTTCCCTGGTACCGTGGTAATTGGTTTAAATTCAAAAATTTAACGCTTGTGCAACGCTCTATAATACGAGTGATGATTAAGTCGAAGATGTGGAGATTGGATTGATGTTTTCTGGGTGTATAAAAGTCGCTGGTTTGGTTTACTTTCGAGTTAGTACCGATAATACTTTCCAAGGATTACCATAAACTTATAAGTACTAGGTAGAGCAGATATTCACTCACTAATTAGTGGGGTTTTTTATTGCCTATTTAACTGATCCATTGCACATGCTTAGAGTATTTAATTATTACTTGACGGTCTGGCGAGCAAACATTTATTTTTCAAAAGTCTAAGTTCATACACAGTTTTTAATATAGCAATTTAACTAAATGAAGTCATTAATTTGGGTTAATGTTGTCTAAACTTCTAGTAAAAGTTACTTTATTAAACTTAAAGAGATCTTCAATGTGTTTTTTGCATACATTTTATATACAGATTTTTTGATAATCAAGTTTTAACATTTTTGCTTTCAGCCATGTTGAAATCCATTCTCGTTTTGTCCTGCCTTTTGGCCATCAGCCTGGTCAGTGCCGAGGATCTGAAGGTGGACGTGATCAGTTTGCCAGAGGGATGTGAACAAAAATCCAAGTCCGGGGATTCCCTACAATGCATTACACCGGAACCCTGCTGGCCGATGGCAAGAAGTTCGACTCGAGGTAAGTGTGTTTTTAAGTTCATTTTATATATAAATAAATAAGCTACATTTCCATGTAAAACACTTGTTGTAAATCAGGTTGCAGGGCACTTAAGTACTTAGTACCTTGAACCTTTTATCAGCTACCAAGGCTTTAAAGAACTTTATCAATGCAATGAAAAACTCTTTGCTATTTTTATGCAATTATTAATACAGGCTAAAGTAACTAAATAATTCCCAAATTTTTGTGATAATGTCAGAGTTCAGTACGCTGCAATTTTTAAAGCCAATTGCGGCTGTAATCTCACTCCATGGAGATTAACATATACTCACCGATACACGTTGGGATTAAAGCCGGTTGGTTGGTAGAGTTCAGCTGCATAGTCAGTCTGTCGTCGTTGTCGTCACGGCGGCTCATTGTCGTAAATTAGACGCCAACTGATAAGCAATCTCATTGTTGCATTGTCGCTGCTACTGCTGCTGCCCTTTTTTGTGTTTTTGTTGCATTTTCCATGCCTGAATGAGCCGCTTTTCCTGCCTACTGTTTTTCTTTTTTTGTCTCTGCTCTGATGCGGTCATTGTGACGTGGCCCTGGATTTTGGGCTCCATAAAGCAAAGAAAAATCATCTTCCGGTGGAAAATGTTTCAAGGTGCAAGGTTATAGCATAGGAATTAATTAAATTGTAATCAATTCCCTAGACTTGTCATTTTTAACCTTTTAAATAAAGTGTGTCATAAATTATGTAACTTGTCTGCTTAATTTAAAACCACAAGAGCAACCCCTTCTTTTCCAAACAATAAAGGACACACAAACCAATTTAAGCGCAGTGCGGAGAGCAGCTCCTTTGCCAAAAGGATACAATTTCCTTACATGAGCTTGAAATACAAAAAATACCCTTTCCCCTGAGACAAAGAGTAAAAAACAGAATCTTTTCCATGCGTGTAATCATTTTGGCAAGCGCTCAAATTCATTATCAGCCAGTTTATTGGTATCAGCTTTTGATAAGCGACTGAAACTAGATTAACTTAACTGATATATAGCCGACCATGAGGGTATATAAATATAGCATAAGCTTTTTCACTCCACTATTTGAGGGGCAAAAATCAACCCATTCTCTGAACTCTGTGAATGTTAACTCCTTCCTTTATTTTGGCTTATCAAATTTGATGTGTGATTTAATTTTATAGCCAGAAAATTGTGTCTTTTATGAAGGAAATGATTTTGTAAACGTTTTGAGTCTGTCTGCTGGAATTTTATTCCTTTTTTGTTTTCTCATATGCTAAACTATAGAGAACATCCCTGCATGAGAGCCTGAAATTGTGTCCTGTTTTTGGGCCTCACCTTGAGTGAGTTTTTTCGGGGGGTTTTCAAATTATGTGGAAGTTCACCTTTTTGGCCTGGCTTAAAAGTTTCGCAATTGCTGTTAAATTTAGCGTGGCAAACAGAGAGACGGAGAGAAACTAACTAACTCAATCAGAGTGCGTCCTTGATGGCAGTTTTCCTCTCTCTCTTTCTCTCGTTGGCTCTTGCCACCTGTTGGTTGCGGCTGTGGCTTAAATGCCCTCGAACTTGGCCAAAATAGCAAGCCAGGCACTTTGCCAGTCAAGTGCAGTCAAGGATGTCGACAGTGGGGCTTCCTCCCCTTGAAAATCACGTCCCCTGCCGCCTTCTTTATGCTAAAAGAATCTTTTTCCAGTCATTTCCTTGGGCCCCCAGCTGTGAGCAGGAGGTGCTTTCTCTCCTTTGACTGGGGTTTTAGGCTATATAGTCTGGCTTGCAACGGAAATTAGCTGCCTGAAAGCCGGCTACTCTTTCTGTCTCCCAGAGATAATTAAGCTTTTTGCCTGCGAAAAGGTTTAAAAGATGTTATTTTTTATCTTTATGCTGAGAAGACAATTTAAAGGTAAGAGTAGCCTTTTTATGTGCTTTTGACAGGTCCTGGCGATTGAATTGTGCTTATTGAAATGCCACTCAAATTGGAAACAGTCTGTCCTAAGCACACACAACCATAAAAAGGAGCTTCGAAGCATACGTGCTTAATTGTTATTAAAAAGGATTACAACTTATTTGATTGGCCAAAAAAGAAAATAAATATAAATGAGAGAAGACAGCATAGCTCTTTTCATTTTCATTTTCGGACAATTAAAAATGCTCCACCTTTGTCTTTTCATAACTAATTCAATAATGAGCAGGACGAGAGTCAGAGTCCTGTCACGTGCCAGCTGGCTTTTATTTTCATTGTCCTTGTCAGACCAGGAAGTGGAGTCTCTACCTGTCATAGCCACAGCTCGGTCACGTGCAACCACAGTTTGTCAATGACTCTTCAGCGAAGGAAACTCTAGTTCTCTAGAGCTACCTTCCTTATTTATTCACCTTCTTTTGGATTTTTCTTGCAACAAGTTGAGCTGCTCTTACTCTACTTTTGACCCGCAGACCTTCTTTTGGCCACATAAATTATTTAGCCGCCTCTCGCCGCTATATTCTAATCAGCCTGACGCGTAACATGAATACACTACAAGGTGGCCCCAACCACCTCCCAGAGTCTCACCTTAACTCCTATGATATATAAGTATGGAGTATGATATCTCCCAACTCCCCCACGAAGTTTCTCATGTGCAACGGTCGCTCTTTCGGGCTGTGTCACTCTTCTGGTGAAATTAATTTGTTACTTTGGGGCACTGAAAGTACCAAACAATGTCAGGTTTTTCTGCTTAAAGTTTCGCGGAAGCTAGAGCAAATTTTGTGAAAACTCTAGGGAAATATTTCTAATATTTATAGGCAGGAATTTAGAGGGTTTTTTTTAAAGGAAAAGAAAAGAAAATTGATGTATATCGATATAAGTATCACTCTGAATTTCTATCGAAAATATCGTAAACTTTGTCAAAATAAATTTTTAAATATGGAAAAATATTGCATTTAATATAAGTAAAAATATTATTTGAAAATATCTATCATTATTCTCGATTATATACGAGGCAGAATACGAATTTTGACGTACGTAATTATATAACAACGTTTAAATATCGATTTCCATGTCAATTATCGAAACAATCGATTGATATTTGCTGCCAACCTTAATTTCTATGTAGAACAATTAATCCAAAATGGATAAATTACCACAAAAAATCATGGATAATTTGTGTTTTCTATGAAGTTTAAATTTCTAGTACTTCCAAAATATCTCTTTGTTTAAATTTCATCTTATAACTAATTTAAGTCATTTGGAGGTAACCATTTATAGTGTTTCAGGTCATTTCACACCTTTGTGCGACACTTTTGATTAACATGTAAATTTTCGAAATATTTTCTAGGGTGAAAGTTTGGCTAAACAACACATAAAAAAACCTACAGACTATAAAAGGAAATGAAGATATAAATGAGCTTTAATTGATTTATGATTTCCTTTCATTTTGAGCACTTTCTTTTTATACAAATCTTTAGAAATTCGCTCGAGTGCAACCAATTGTTTTTTTTTCGTTATGTGTGTCTTCTTCAGAAAACATGTTTCACAAAATTTTTGACAACGCAACGCCAGAGTAAACAAGAGGAAGCTCAGGTAAAAAAAAGAAGAGCAATAAGTCAGTTACCTGAGAGGCATCGGGCCATAACTTGCAATGTTGTCGCTTTTTGGCGCTGCCATGATTTGTATGTGCCAAGTGCAAAACTCCTCCTCCTTGGCCACCCAAAAGCTTTCCTCACAATTTTCTTTGCTCTTTCCCCTTGCAAGTTAAATGTCCAAACGCAGAGTGCGTAGAGAAACAGCATGAAAATGCATCAAAGTGAAAGTTTTTAGCGACACACAACCTTGAACGAGTTGGCAAAAAAAAAAAACACAAGGAAAATTAAGCGAAAAAAAAGGAAAAAGCCTTAATCTTTGGCTGAAAAAAACCAAACTAAACATTTATGAAGTGCACCAGCTTTGACATTAAAGTTGGCCTCTAAATCTAAAGCTCATTACCATGTGGAAGCAATCAACTGCCTTGGCGTTTCTCTGTGCAACTGCAACAGCCGCCTGATGTCTGTCTGAGTTTTATGGCAACTTCTGTCCGGAATATATATTTCCCTTTTGCCCAAAAAAACTCAGACACATTTGTAGATAGTTTAAATAATTAATGAGCTTCAACGGTTGCAATTTTTATTTCCAGAATTTACAGCAGTGTTTCTCCTTCTGCCTTTTTTTCTGCTGCCTGGGAGTGAAGGGGTGCAGGAACGTGATGCCGCCAGCTGGGGCATAAATTCGTGTGTCCTGTAAGGCACTTGTCTAGACACTGAGAGAAAATAGAGGTTTTTATGGGGAGACAGAATTTGTTTGTTTTGTTTTTCAAATTACAAAAAAAGCTAAAGCCTTTGCTCCTCAGCAGTAACTTAGCATGGTTGTCATTAGTCTACAGCTAGAACCCGCTGGGAATTTTAGTCCAAAGAGTTACAAATGTTTGCTTAAGAAATTTTACATTTTTGTTTCCAACTTGTATTTCAGCTTAATAAATATATATTTTAAGTATGTGTAACCTTTAAAAATATGATTTAAATTCAAGATAATATTTAATAAGGATGGAATGTACCTAAAATTCCCAAGTAACTTTCAAGGCTTTAAAAATATTAAGCTGTTAATTACGTTATTTATCTAGCAACTGATATAATTGAATTAGATTGATGCCCCTAAAATATAAAATATATAAAGTTAAAAACTTTAAAATCTCCTCCCTTTTTCGACCAGTGCAGGGGTGCAAACTTGTTCAATCTTTTCGAGTTTTTGTGTAAATTGTTCGCACGTTGACCAGGCCCACAGAGAGGAATCCAGAGAATAGGAGGTCCTGCCGGAGTGTTTCTTGTCCTTGGTGCACGTTAATCGCAACTTGTCGCTCTCCTCAGCCCCAAAACATAATAAAAAAACAAACTAAAAGAGAAGCAACCGATGCCGAAGGTATTGCGGTTGCATATTTGATTTTATAACTTCTCCTTCTGGCCGGACACATAAAACGAGGTCATCAAGGGAGCCCAAAAGGATTCAATTTGATTGGATTGAATGTGTCTGAAGTTTTTGGCGGAGTGACGTGGTATGATTTTGGGTGGCAATGGCAACCATCCTTACACTACCACCACCGCCCGTGGTGCGGAATCACGTAGATGATGGGTGGAAACGGATGTTTGGGCGCCCATTGAGCTGCATTTTAAATTATGCGATGCGTTGGGACCCAGGACTCATCGTCCGGCAGATACAAAACCGGGATTCGAATTGCGATTCCCAGCAGAAGGAGTGAATGTGGGATATGGCGGGTGGAATGAAATCGAAACTTATTAAATATTTAGTGACCGAATGAATGAGTTTACATTTTTCCCTCTGACTTTATGATAATGTCTACGGGACTGGCCATAAAAGAAGCCCGAAAAAGAAGCACATATGTTTTGGTGGAAGCAACACCTTAAGCACCTCTAACTTGGCCAAAATAAATATCAAGAAAAACCGCTTGTAAATCGCTCTTGCAAAATATCTTTATACATTTTCGCTTAAGTTTTTTCCCCAATAATTGCACAACTGCCATGGCAATTGCCATTTCAATTGCAAGCTGGCTGCATCGCCGGTTTATTATTTGTCCAACTGCAAAATGTTGAATGCCAGTGAGTCCGATCCTCAGCTGACCGACCTTTTTGTTTGTCTTTGCCGGTAATTCATAAATATTTGATTGCCTTTGGGGGGCGGACACACAAACAGGACGAAGGACACGGAAGTCCGAGCAACACAACTGAACTGACTGACTGAAACAATCAACACGTTTAAACGATTTTATTAATTTATTTACGACTCGTCGACGTTTCGAGGGGGGAGGAGGTTCGTTTTAAACGATTTTTCCCATTAAAGGTTTAACAATTGCAGAGAGGGTTAAATTAAGCGGAAAATGGAAGTTGAAAAAAAAGGTGAAAACTTTGTTTGGTTGATGAATAATTAGAAGGGGTTTAATACTGGGATATTTTGCTGAAGGGTTAAATGGGTTTATAAGTATTTAATTCAAGTGGTAAAAATTATCATAATACTCTTGGAAAAATATACGAAAAAGGTGATAAATATTATAGATTATTTCTGATAGGAAAAGGTTTTAGAAGCTTTTTTTTTTTAGAAATATACTATCTTTCATCTCTACTTTTTTCCTTTTCCTTTAGTCATTGATCTATAAAATAAACAAAAGCTTATACAGCTCCTTAGATAAGCCTCCAGAAAAGCGCATAAATTAGCAGGACTCAAGATGTAAGCACTTTCAGGACAAAGCCCCTAGAATCACACAAGGAAGGCTCCATAAAATGTTTCACATATTACTAGAAATTCATGGAAAATAATGCAATAAAAATTCACAGCAGCCACAGACAGTCCGCGACACCGAAATAAAGGTGTGTCTCCTTGGGCTCCAGCATAATCCCAGAAAAACACATCCAAACCTGAGAACATGGCAAATTTTTTACGCTTTTTTATTTCATCAGGAGATTTGCACTTGAGCGAAAGCCGGCGACAAAAAAGCAGGAACGACGACACTTTGGTTACGCTCCAGAGTCACACTTAACCGCTGCCGGGTTTTCCTCCTCTTTTTTTTTTTGGTTGGGTGGATTATTCAGCGGCAATCCGCATGCCACTTGCCGCATTGCCACAACTCCTCCTCCTCCTCCTCCACCACTTTCTGGCCCCATCATCGTTTGTGACTTGAACTCGAATTTGAAACAACAGCCGGAGCATGTAAAAATGTTTGCAAAATGCCCAGGAGATGCACATAAAATATTTAACAGACAAGCTCCCAAGACCAGCTTTCCCCCTAGAAGAACTTTTCCCCCTCCCATTTGGGTGACTCCTGGTTAATCATTTGTTTTCTTAGCTCCTCGCCTGCAATAATCTGTCTCGTCCTTAGGATGTTTTTTAAACTACAAGTTTAAGGAAACATTTACCCGCGTCACTTGAACGCGAGAACTTTCTTAACAAACAACAATAATAATACAATAATGATACACAACAGGAGAGTTGCCAAAAAAAAGTACAAAAAATATATAGAAAGAAAGCGAGGAAAATTCTAACAAACTTTCCCTGCAGTCGGATCAGGCCCAAGCGACACATTTCAATTGCCAAGTTCAGATCTCTGGAGAGCTGGTTTCAAGTTCTTCAACAATTTGTTATTCTTAAGCCTCTAAATGATGGAAAAACTTAAATAAAAGTTAAAGTTGACTAAATTTAAAGTATAAGAAAATAAATATACTATTTTAGGGCTAAGGCTATTAAAGGGAATGAAGGAACAATATTAGGAGTACAAAATTTGAGAAAGGGTTTTATGTATTTAATTTGGCATTTTAAGGTTTTTAAGCTCTATGGAAAATGTACAAATTTCTGTCAGAAATAAATTAAAAAAATAGATTTCAACATATAGAGGATTCAGAATATTTTATTTTAAATTTTCAGGGCTTTTTAGCCTTGTAAATGAAATGAAGCTTTAATATTTCTATATAAATATCCATAATATATTATATAATATTATTTTGTAGGGTTTTAAAGTATATATCTTATATCTTAATCAATTATCTTGCTAAAATAAATGAACAAACCCTTTTAGAAGTTAAATTTGTTAAAGAAAGGTCAGAATTTAATTTCATAGAATTATTTATTTATAAACTTTTTTAAATGTATATTTAAGCCACTGGCTTTATTAAAAACCTACTTAAGAAAATATATAGGCTATGTAAGCTTTATGATTTATTGAATTACCCCATAAAGAGCACATAAATTTGTTACTTTTGCCACCCCTTAATTTTAAATTCCCTTGAAGAGAAACATACACCACTCAAAGCTTAAGCCTATAAAAGGCATTTTACAATGTGTTTATTGCTACATTCTAAAGTCTACTCCCCACAAACCGAAATGATAACCATTCCTATATATCATAATCATCATCAAATGGGTTCCTGGGCGAAACAAAAAACAACTTGCAACTGTGCCACATCATACATCAAGCTCAAGATGCGACATTCTCATGCATACCTGAGCAGCAGCAGCCCCCTTTTTTTACGCTTAACAAATTAAAGTAAATTCGCTTAGCAAGACCATCAAATAAATAATTTTATAGATAATAATAATAATAAAACAAAGGGAGGAAACAGTGATGAATTGTTTCGTTTTATGGTGATTCCCCAGCGACACCTGACAGCACTTGAAACTTTTGCGGCTAACAACCATCTAACATTTGAATCTTTCCTTTTTTTTGCAGCTTCGACCGCGACCAGCCCTTCACATTCCAATTGGGCGCCGGCCAGGTGATTAAGGGTTGGGATCAGGGTCTCCTTGACATGTGCGTGGGTAAGTGCTCTAATCCTATGAAAATGCTAAAATTAAATTGTTATTTCAATTCTTACAGGTGAGAAGCGCAAGCTGACCATTCCCCCTCATCTGGGCTATGGCGATCAGGGTGCCGGCAATGTCATCCCCCCAAGGCCACCCTTGTTTTGAGGTGGAACTGATCAATATTGGTAATACCCCGGCCACCACGAATGTCTTCAAGGAGATCGATGAGAATGCCGACAAACAACTGAGTCGCGAAGAGGTAATCGTCTATGTATGGATCGCACTTTTGTTTATATATATATTCATGTCTCCTTCTACACTGAAATATCCGTTGGGTTTGGTTACAAGTTACTAACAATTGGGCAGAGATAATTTGGGATTCATTTGATTTTTAAATAGTACTGAAATTAATTAGCTTAAAGATCTTTTAGATATACATTACTTGAATAAGTAGATGTATTTTATATTTTTAAATCTCCAAGCATCCAATTTTTTCTATGTTCTTCTGCGTTATGTATCTTCTAGCTCAATCTTACTCAAAAAAAGTAAATATTAATTTGACTTTTTAACATTGGCAAAAGCTATTTCCGAGTAATCATTCATTATTTCTGAAGATATGAACCATTTTTATAGACCTTCTGCTGTTTTTAAAGGTCTAACATATTTAAATCATTAAAAGAATCAAATTAATCAAAAATTATTTCTGCCCTTAAAATACTTACTTTTCGTAGAGCCAATATATTTTGAAACATATTTCTGATCAAAAACCAACCCTTTGCGTATCCAAACAGGTCAGCGAGTATCTGAAGAAGCAGATGACCGCCGTGGAGGGTCAGGACTCGTCGGAGCTGAAGAACATGCTCGCTGAGAACGACAAGCTGGTGAGGAGATCTTCCAGCACGAGACAAGGACAAGAACGGTTTCATCTCCCACGACGAGTTCTCCGGCCCCAAGCACGACGAGCTGTAGGGTCCCCCTCATGGGGCTCACATTCTCGGGGGTTTATTTTCTTTTACATCGAAGGGACACGAGTGCTTAAATTATATAAAATTTAAAAGAAATATATATATACAAACAGATAAACAGGCAATAAATCGAGTGCGACTGATAATTCGCGATGTCATTCTGTATATAGCATACATATCAGCATCAGCAAAACATCCAACACATTCATATTTTGTGTGTCCCCCCGGTTCTAGACGTAGTTTAAATTATGTACAATCCGAGAGAGAATGAACATCATTTTTATATACATTTATAGGTTGTTATATTCGAAAAGTTGTGGCTAAGTTCATGTGTCGTAAAAGATATTTTGTAATCCATGGCGCACACGCTCAAACACACACACGACAAAGTCAATTGGAACACACTTTAAACTGAATAAAGAATTGCTACCAATAATTTAACAACAATTAAAAAATGTCTTTTCATCTTCCCCCAGAGATAAACATTGTTTTAATCAACAGGTTTTTTTATATAGTTCGTTATTCATACATGTATATAGATAGCATATATAGATCTCTATATATACGCGAATGGTAAATGGTGTAAAGCATATTAAAGAACATCACATACAAATATATATATTTAGGTTTTCTTCTTAGTTACTTTTTACTTTCAATGAAAACTCAAAACGAATAAAATTCCAGGGGTAACACATATAGTATAGAGGGAGGGATTATTGTGAGAGACAAAAGACCAATCGATAAGCTACTTAAATATATACACAGTTAACTGAGCGATCCAACAATACAACTATATAGATCATCCAACCATTATCCTTTCCCCAAGTCGTCGAACACTCTTAATTGTATAATTATTGTAAGCATTTTTTTCCTTTGTTCGTATTAAGAGGAGAATTGCACTACGTGGGACTAAAATCAGGCATTCAGTATGTAGAAGACCAGCTCGAGAATGATGGGATCCTGAATGTTTGACGATTCGCCATGGAGCGTGGCCACCAGATGGTTGTCCAAGGCATTCATGTACAGCGGCGGCAACTTCGAACCCTTTGCTCCGGCCTCATAGCCAACCTGTTGCAGGATGAAACTTCGTGTTAATACAATTCTTACAGGGTCTTATGAGCAAACACATACATTCTCCTGGTCGAGACTGGCTCTCAGGCCGAGCTTAGTGATGCCAGCAGCCGCTAGAAGATCAAGGAATGGCAGCAGTGCCATAGAGGCGCTGCGTGCAAGTTGCTCAGCAATCCGGGTATGTCTGCATAGTTTCCACCATTGGTGGCATACCACTCTTCGCACTGTCAAAAATACACAAATTTAATTAGCAAGATATAACATTAATAAGACGGAACCCACCTTCACCACATATATATCACTCAGGCGTATAGCATAGTTGGCATTGGAATAGTTAAAGCTGGCATGGACGCGCATATTGGAGATGCCATCCATGGCCTGGTCATCAATGGGTGACTTTACTCTATAAAAAACCAAGTTAATTTCCACTTTAAGGATTAGATCTTTAACCCAACTCACCCCACATTGATGTCCCGATTGTTGTCCACCCATTTGATGCTCACAACCTCACTCTGATCATCGGTGGCATCGATGGGCCCGCACACAATATCAATATCCGTTTGATTACGCAGTGCCTGACGCACTTCCTCCATTTTGGTGGGCATTATTTGCACCATTAGGCCATCCTCTACAATGCTACACTTGCCCGACAGCCCACTGCTGCTCTTGAGGGATTCGTTTAGCACAAAGAAACTGGCTCCAGTGATCTTCCTTGGCTGACCCTGGATATTAATCGCCTGCGTGGAGTACGAGTACATCTCGGATCGATCATCGTTGACATTCTGCATGCACACCAAATGGCCATCGGCCACCTTGGAAAAGTTTCCAGCAAACGCCAATATATGATCACTAGCATCGTTGATAGCTTTGATCACATCCTGCTGTCGATACTTGGGTATAATCACTGTCGTCTGCCGATCCTCCATGTGGATATATAGTCCCCGGATAGCGGGCAGAGAGTAGGAATAGTTACGGAAATCCACCAGGAAATTGATAATGGTTTGAGCAATCTCGCCATATACCGACTCCCGGCCACGTACCGAGATCAAGGGACAGGGATAGTATCGATATTGGGCGCCTAAACGAAGGATTAACCGCAGAGGCAGCACCTTGGCCCAGGGCACTTCGTGCCGATGGATAAGCACCCCACAAGATAGGGATTATCGGGAACTATCACGCCCTGCAGCACTGATACGTTGGCCGGATAAAGATGAAACCGCCATGCTCGCGCGAACCCAAAAGTTGGCATTGCGGGGACTGGTGAAGGCCAGTTCATGGGTACTGGAACGGGCATGCTCCGCCTCCACATAGATCTCGTACAGATGCTGGAATACATCCTTAGGCAGAGCCGCCTCACCATTTGCAGCTTCTCCTTGCTTTGGAGGCTTAATCTCCAGCAGAATGATCAACTCATCGCTTCCCATATGATGCAGTCCCGAGGTGGTAAAGTTCAGCACCCAGCGATTCATGCAGCAGCTCACTAGGAAGGGTTTAGGTTAGCATATACTCTGTAAAGGATTCCCAAACAATACTCACTGTTCACAACCTTGACCAGCACAAAAAAGTTGTTTTCACAATAAACTTGAGCGTTTCGTTTTGCAATCTCTCCAGGAGTGAGCCATCGTTGCGCACCACCTTGTAGTCCACCTCGTTTCCCTCCTTGCTGCTTATGCATATAGGTGGCAGGCCATTCTCCTCGGCGGGCAGATAACAACCTTGAGAGTCCGCATTGGGCGGCAACTTGCGATTGCGCACAGGTTCCGCTTTGCGACGCGGCGAGGTCTGAGCTTGGGTTGAGGAGCGGTTACCTGGCAAAAGAAATATGGATTAAGGAAAGCTTTAAAAGGTTTGGGAGTTTTACTTACCACTTGGCGTTTCGGTGGCCGTCAGAGTGGCTGCTGCTGCACTTGGCGGTATGGAGCCGCGGAATAGTTGCGCCACCAGGCCCAAAGTTGAGCTGGTGTCAATACTGCGTGTTGGTGGCTCTTCGGTAGCCGGTGTCGGTGGCTTCGGACTGGATCCAGCTCCCGAGTTGCTCCGGGAAAGACCTCGTCTGCCTGCTTAGCCTCGCCCCATTGCTGTTCCATGGTGCTGGCGAGTTCACTGCCCGGTGCAATGCCATCGCTGAACATGACGCTCTTTCGCTTGCGGGCACCCTTCCTGCCATCCGAACTGGAGGAGTTGGAGGAGCTGCCATCGGTTTTTTTCAGCACACCCACGGGTACAATTACGCTGGGCGGCGGGGCACCGGGTGTCGAGGCCACCTGGCGATGGGGTGGTATTGTGGAGCAGTATTCCATGGGATTATTTGGATTTGGCGAGCGCATTGGCGTCGGCGGCAGTGCGGAGCCTGAGGCTACACCCGAACTTGAGCCAGTGGCCTGGCGTTCGGAGAGAATCATGTAGCATTGGACGCAAACACGGGACTCAGGCTCGTTGGCAAACTCAAGATGGAATCGCTGCGAACACAGACAGAGCACAGGACCTTGCCGCAGGCGCGCAATGATGACGTCGCTTTATCATGGTGAACTTCTGCTGGCACTGCATGCACTGGCCGGCCATGTTGTCCGGCACCCAAATGGGCGGCACCTTCCCAGGTTGGCATGCGGATCACTGTAGCCAACGGCCTCGTAAATGGGACTTTCCTCGTCATCCTCGCCGGGTACTATGCCTGCTTCAGCCAGAGCTCCCGCTCCCTCAGCACCTTCAGCCAGCTGATGATCCTCCGCTTGATTATCGGGTGTCTCCTCTTGTGAGGGCGTCAGGCTTCCCGCCTGGCAGCCATTCAAGTCGAGGGTTTGTGGTCGCTGCGGACGCTGCTCTTGTGTTTCCAAGGCATCGGTGGCCAGACTGGCATCCTCCTGCTCCTTGTCCACCTCCTGTCCCTCCTCTTCGTCGAATTTCCGGCCCGAAAGGGAGTCCGATTCGGTGCTATCAAAGCTGGAGGCTATATCCTCGCCCATTGCGGTCACTGGGGTGGCTTCTTGTGGCTTCAGATCGGCAAATTCCACAGTGGAGGCTTGCGAAAAGTTATCCACATTCATCTGGTCGTTGGAGGTGGTCTCCTGCTCGTCGGACAGTATACGCACAGACTCCTCCTCGGTTACTGGCGATGTAGTGGCAGATTTCTCCTCATCCTCGGGCATTTCCTGATCGCCACCATCCTGGTTATCATCCGCATCCATTTCCTGCAGCATGCTGTCCAGCTCGGTGTCGGAGATCTCGTCCATGGTGGAGCAGAATGTCAGAGGTTGGCTACGTCTTGGCTGCTGCTGTAGGTCATCATCGTCGTCATCGAGGTCTGGTTGCTGTTGCTGCTGTGGCTGTTGCTCCTGCTCCTTCCTTTGTGGCGGAGGTAACTGTGGCACAGCGGAGGCCTGGTGAAGCATTAAAGAGAGATTATACTGTTTTTTTTCTTGAATTTCTGTCATCATATACTTACTGCCAAGGGAGCAGGTACTTCTATGCCATTGGTCATCTCCGTTTCGGGTTCTCTGGTGGACGACGACTCCTCAGAGAGTTGCTGCAGCACTTGACCCAACACGGACGAAGCTGTAACCTCGCCTGGCAGCATTGATTGCGATTCTGTGACGGATGCGGTGATGGAAATGGATGATAAACCCACGGCCAGGTCCTCCATATTTGGCGTAGCCAGTTCCTGTTCTTGCTGCTGATGTTCTATCGCCTGTTCCTGGTGGTTTTCCTGCTCCTTGACCTCCTCTCTGACGTCTGCTGATGGTAGAACCTGCAAAGCACTCGGCTTATCGCTCTCCGGCGGCGTTGTAAGCTCCTCCGAGTGGCTGCCGTTGCTGACGGGCGACGGGCCCGAGGAGAAGGTGGAGCAGGACGACGTGGTCAGCGATTCGGAGGAGGAGACAGTGGTTTCGCCAAGAATTTTATTCCGTGGCTCCTCACTGAACTTGTTTAGGTCATCCTCATGCTCGGTTCCGTTTGCCAATCGTAGCTAGGCAGCTGGGCGTCCACTTCCAGCGATTTCACATTGTTTCGATAATCATCCAGACTGTTAAATACCTGCGAGACGCCCACAAAGCTCTTGGCAGCTGGGGCACCTGCAGGAGGTCCTGGATTCACAGATCCTTGCAAGGTTTGTACTCCTGCTCCTGCGCTTAATCCTTGTGGTTTTCCTGCTCCGCCTACTGCTGCATCTGCTGCTGCTGGGACTGCCACTGCGGCAGCCGCTCCTCCTGGTGCCCTGCACTTGCTCCATCGCCCAAATGACGAGCTGCAGCTCCGGATATCGCCGCTGCAGCTGCATTTCTGCTCAATTGCTCGTCGGCAGCGATGCGTAATTCCAGATTGTCCAGAACCTGGTCAATGTCCACCAAATCCATGGCCATGAAATCCGGATATCGGCCTAAAGACGTTAACCAGCGGTCCCAATAATTCGCACAAATTTTCACAACGCAAAAAGAGAAAAAAGAAAGAAAAAGGGAAAAACAAACTCACCTTAGGAGTATGAGTGTGCCCAGCTGATGATACCAAAAACGCTTTGAAAAGTGCAGGTCTGGTCGCACTCAGATAGTGAAGGCACAGAAACATCGCTATCTCGAAATTTATGCATCGATATTTTCATCAATGTTCTTGCACCTCTAGACGAGAGAGAATCATGTTAAGTTACACTCACTCTGTTAAGTTACGCTTTCCTCTGTTAATGTTAATAAATTTTTACATTATACATGAGAATTTTTACTTTTCACATGAGAATTCCACTTCCTACATGAGAATTCGACCCCGAAAATGAGAATTTGACCCCATGTATCTGTAAACGTGTAAAAGGTTCCCAGACCTGTAACATGTAGAATGTTAACTAACAGCTGGATATCGATGTATCGATACATCGATACTTTGATGTCTACCGATTGCCAACCATAACTGTTCAGATTTTGTTGTTGCAAAACCAACGGAACAAAACGAACGCACGGCCGGATTATTTCGGGATTTCGAGTGTTTTTCGCGAATCGTGTAAAAAAAACAACGCGTGTGCAATTGTAAATACAAATAAAAGGTGCGCAAAAAAGCCGAAATAAATAAAGGAAAACATCGGGCTGGTGGAGAAGCAGCAGCAGAGAAAAAGGCACAAAGCCGCCATAGCCGCATGTGTGCGAAAGAGCGAGACAGAGACGGAGCGAGAGCGAGTTGGGACAGAGTGGGAGAGCGTATAGTGTGCTTGTAGTGGTGGGCGGTTGTTATTTTATTTTTTTCTTCGTTTCCTCCATTGGAAAATGTCAGAATTCTAGGAGAAAACCCAGAAATAAACTAAATAACAACCAAGTTTATTATATTCGAGTATTGGAATAGCTAATTTCAACTTTCTTGCAAAAAGGAAAAAAAAAACACCCACACAAGTCAAAAAAAAAACTTCACACACACGCACACACACACAAAGCCAATTTCGATTCTCTTTTTCTTTTTCATGCGTTCTCTCTGCGTAAACGTTTTGTTTATTTCCCCCCGTCTCTCCTACAGTCTTTCTTTGATTTTAGCCGCGCGCGCATTCGATAAATTGTTGTTAATTTTACAGTGTGTAATGTTTAATTAATGCCCAGTCAGTGCCTCTCTTTTCCGCTATCTCCGCCGCTCGCTCTCTTGGAATTCAATTGATAAATCGGCAATAATCGCGAGTGTCTTTTATCAAATAGTGTGTCTGGCAAATAAATAATCGTAAATAATTGTTGTGTGTTTTCAAACAGCATTTTTCTAGTGTTTAAACCAGTTCTGAAGAGCTCGTTAAAAGAGAATATAAAACGAATAAAATAGCTTTATTGTGTTCTATCTTGTATATTCGAAATCAATAAATAAAACTGGAAAACCATTGACAACAGCAGCAGGAGCAGCAGCATCAGCGAGAAAAAGAGGAAAATGAAACCAAAGCAAAAGAATTCAATGGAGCCACTATTTCCGGTCAACGGCAAATTCGTAATGCTCAGCGCCCTGCTAATCGGAATTCTGGTGGCCACCACCCAAGCCCAAGATCAGGTGAGTTTTCCAGAAAGCTATATTTATTTACCTCTGAGTTCGTCGGGAGAATTGATGTTTATTAAGTGTTTGAAGGGGTTCATAAATATAGTTATTGTTGTATACTTTGAGAGCTGAACTTGTAAACAATATCCCAAAGTTTTATTAAAATATAGGGATTACTTGCTAAAGATTGAAGATTTAGTAAATAAAGACTTATTATCTTTATTTTATAATCTAAAAGTTTTCTTTGTTGTCAAAAGTATTTACTCAATAATCTCCGAAAGTTTCAAATTATTCCCATTAATGTTTTTTTTTTTTAAATTGAGCAAAAGGCGAGGACACTTTCAAGTTGTTTTAAGAGCTCATAAAACTCATAGAAAATGTATACTATTTTATAGTGTCATTTTAAATTAATCTCTATATATTAGACTTTCATAATGAAATTGCATTTTAGTATACATTAAAAGCTTTTGTGTGTATATTTTTTATTACCAAACAAGAATGACTCATTTTGGCATTAAACCTATCTCTTTTGTTTAATAAAAGTATGCTAATGTGTGATAAATAATAATAAAAGTATGAATTTTATTAGGCTCAGTTTGTAATAGCAAGATTAGTTAAATAAGAGCTATTAGTGGTCTGTATTTTACTTAACCTTTAAACTTACTGCATTCGTAATTTCAATTCAATTTAATTAGAATTGCAAAAAGCTTTCTCAGCATATAATGCTTTTACTAAAAATATGATTTTTCCTTGATTTCAAACGGTTTTAAAATTCGTATCTGGATATAACCATTTCACAGCCATCAATTGTTGTCCATGGATGAATTTCTCATTTGCGGAACCACTTCTCCTTGTAACTCCCCAATTAAATCGAGACAGATTCAATCGGTGAACCGAACTTCCTTCACCCAATTTTCAGTTCGATTCAGTTTTCCCACCTTGAGGGCCTTGTGCAGTGCCTCGGTTCGATTTCTTGTTCAGTTAAGTTGTTTTTGCGGTCTGTGGGTTGTCCATGTTGCTGTTGCACTTATTATGCAAAATTCGGCACCACAGAGGCAGAAACATACAGATGAGAGGTCTTAACTCAATCGATATATATGTATGTTCGCTACATGTGTAGGAAACAATGAATTCTCCAAGGCATTGCACTGGATGCAATTTGTGGCCTGGCGGATAATGAAGAGGAGGTCTTGATGTCTCGATGAGTCTGGTGGCTCCAGTCTGCTGCTGTCTGTTGTTCCCTCTCGGAGGAAAGACATTAAAAACGTCTGCATTGCGAACGCATAAATATGGCAGCAAAATAAACGCACACACAACACTCTGAAATAGACAAGGCGGCCGGCTGCTGCTCAAATAAGGCTGACAATCTGAAATTGGTCATCGGGTCCAAGTTGCATCGATGTTGTCAGTACTCCAAACTCCATCCAAGTCCAAGTCGATCCCCATTAGCGATGAGAGATGAGTGTGCCGCCGAGAGAAACACAGATACAATTGTTAAGCCGAGAGTCAGTCGCATCAAATGAATCAATCTCCTACAAATGTTTCTCTTTGAAAAGCTAATCACGGAATTTTCAAATTAATTAAATTATTTGAGGTCGAAAATAACACGAAAATGGAAGGAACAGATATTTAAAAGTACTATCTAACCATTAAGTAATTAGTTTAGCAAGGTGCTTTTTTAAAGAACACTTTTCTATTATTTTAATCATTAGGCTTTTAAATAAATATATATCTTTGATTATTTCAGGACACCTGAACAGGTGATTAATGAACTGAGTTTGAATGTATTCTTACTTCTAGAAGAATAGGTTCATTTTCTCTGGAATGAATTTCTTTTATATAATTTTTTTAACCACATTTTCACCAAACCCTGTTTTCTAAGCATTATATTTTTAATTATAGAAAAATTATTTCTAAACGCAGGAAAAGTGATTTTTAAGAGCTTTGCTTTCTGAACGAAAGTTTTAAATCTTACAACAAATATATATATATATTTTAAAACTAATAACAAATGTCTACAAGTTTTTACAAAGTCTAAAAAAGTCTTCATGAATTCAAATTCACATCTCAAGATATTATCTTTGAGTAATAACTGCTTATTATTAATAATGATTTTTGACGGGCAATTAAATATAAGCATAAGTTTAAATTATTTCTTTCATGTTAGCTTAGCAGTTTTAGTTTAAATGTAATTCCAAGTTCAAGAATAATTTCGTGGTATTTAACCTCAAGGAGTTGCTTTTTCAAATACATTCCTAAGAGTTGCATTTTCTTTGGGCTCATCACTGGTTGCGTGTCTGATTTTGGGCCTGGGTTCTGGGCCAGTTTTGTGACGCTGCGCGGCGGTAGTGGCTTCTTGGTCACGATGATCTTGGTAGTAGTAGCCAACAAAAGCATCCGGCTGTTGCCAATTTTGCAACTGTGTTTGCCTCTTTCACTGCTTGGATTCCCTGTTTTGTTTGTTTGTTTGTTTGCTTTCCTGCCTGCTGGTTTGTTGTTTGTCCGTTTGCCAGTTTTGTTTGTTTTTATTGGTGTGTGACTTATTGGCCCGAAAAATTTCTACACACACATACGCTAACAATACACAACAGATGACACACACCCATAAATAGTGCGATGGCCTTTTGCCCCTTCCGATTCCCTCCCCCCGATTCCTCAGTTCTCCTTCTGGCCATCCAATAATCCTGTTTTCACCATTCCGTCCATCTTGTGTGTCCTGTTTTTGGTGTTTGTCACTTGTTTTTGCCAAAATTGGTATTCGTGGTTATCCTCAACTCACAACCCTCGGCTCCTTCGCCAAAAACATTTTCAGAACGTGCGCAGAAAATTGATGAGTGGCTCAGAGACAGAGAAAGAGAGACAGAGAGAGAGAGAGAGAGATGCTGTCTGAAGAGCGATATGAAGAGGAGACGGGAGCCAGTTTAATGTCCTGTGATTGTTGCAAGTGCCATCACAAACACATCCCTCCCCTTCATCCTGAGCTCATTTACAAATTTTGGATTCATTAGCATTAATGCCAAGTCTAGGATACACCGAGAAAACTGAGATCTCCTTTGATAAAATGAACTTTTGGTTAAATATATTATTTTATCATATTAAATCAACTTGTATATTTCTAACTTACTTAATAAAATTAAAGATAAAATGTAAAATAGTATTTAAATTTATTTCTGTGTAGCAAAAATGGAGCTAGGAACTTGGCAAAAGGAGGAAATTTATATAGCATCATAGCGTCACACCTGCAAGAGGTGTCAAACCCTTCGATATATATGCCAACTTAAACCCTCCTTTGACTCTCTATCCGTACCTTTCCCTTCTCCCCCTTCCACTTGTACCGTGTTTGGCCTGCTGTTTGTGTTTATTTTCTTGGTTTTCTCGGAATATCGATACTCAATTGCCAGACGGCGGCAGACAGCGATAAGGTTCAGTTCAGTCGATGATATTGGGTTTTCCGTTCGATTCTATGGATCTGACTACCTAAACATTGCCACTTCCCTGAACTTGGTAATGGTAAAAGGCAATTGTATTCTGGCTACTGATGATGCCATGGAAATATGTGTTTATCGATGGATGACTTTTGAATTGATGAGTCCATAATTTAGTTATGTATTTTGAGATATATTTTTTAAAGTATTCATTTGGTTTGATCATTTATTTATAATATGTTATTGAAATTTTTAATGAATATTTTAATAGTTTAATTAATTTTTTAAATATTACAAAATGGAACTGTGTTAACCAGTGCTCCCTGTACTTGAAAGCCAATCCCATTGATGTAATGCAATATCCTATCCTGTCTATGCTATACATTTTATTCAAATTTCTATTTAGTTTTCCATGCACACATTTCAGGTTTCATCCTCTCCACTCATTCATTTCATTCAATCTCTGTTCATTACCTTGCCTACATGTTCATTATCTTCTCCTCTTTCCGCCTTTACCCCAACCTCGTTTCTCCATATTTCCTCCATATGCGGTTTACAATTTTTCTCTTTTTTACTTTTCAATTATTATTCACGTGTGGCTTGCCTTTGCCCATTTGTCTCTTTTCATTTACCTTGCAACAGCATTCATGTTGTTGTTGTTGTTTTGTTGTAATGCACTTGCAATTGCTATCTCTGTCTCGCTTTCCCCTTATTTTCTACCCCCACCACTCTTTGTCTTTTCGTCTCGTCTCGCACCTTCTTTGTGTGTTAATTACACAGTGAGAAAAGATAAGATTAAATAAGGGAAATATTCAAGGGAAAACTACTGAATTTAATTTCTTTAAATTACTGTTCATGGTGTTAAAATTTTGGTGAGAGATTAAAACGTATTTTGTATAGATACAAATTTATATTAAATTACAATTGTAAAGATATAAAATCGTTTACATTTTCCTCTGTGTAGTCACTGAATTGACGACTGGCCGACGATGTCAAGATGTTATCATAGAATTTTTTGCCTTTTCGCCTTTTTGCAAAATGTCACACAGACACACACGCACACGCGCCCATAGACAAGGATGCACATGCGACAGATTAATTGCGGTAATCTATGTAAGTTCAATTGAAAATCCCCGCAAATAATCTGCGTCATTTGCTAATTAAGCCAGTGCAAACAAGATCAAGAGCGAAAGAGACACGGAGAGTGAGCGAGAGACTGTGCGGAAGAGAGGCGCACGAAAACGAATCACGTTTTACACATGTAATTTTGCTCTAACATAAAAATATTCACCAATTATCGCATTTTTTGCCTCCACACCTTTCAAAAAATTAAATTCAATTGAAACAATAACTAATGGTTTACCGCAAATAAATCACAAGCAAAAACATTTGCTACAAAATTGAACGAAAGAGCGGGATGGAGAGCACTGAAGAGAGCTAGTAAATACGTGCGGGGCGCCAAAGAGAAGCGTATAAGAGAGTGTGTTGTAAATTGTAAATGAAGCAAACGAAGCGAAGAAGAAGCAGAGGCCAGCATAAAAAAAATGTTTGTGCGCTGGCGGCACTAAATGTAAATGTGTGTGTCTGTGT